CTCCTTCCAAAATTTAACATTTCAGCACAAGGGAAAAAATGTCCTATTTGTCTGATGGAGTTTGATGAAGAGGATGAGACAAAGATTTTACCTTGCAAACATCAGTTCCACAGTGCGTGTATATTACCTTGGCTTGGAAAAGTAATAAATAGTTTTAAAGAATATAATAAATGAGAACTACTTACTAATATTAGTAATCTACATCATATATTAATTTAAATAACAAACAAAAATAGATGTATTACTTTAGAAATTATTATATCTTAGTTGCTCTCCTAACTAAAAAAACAACTAAAATTCATAAGATAGGTATTGGTAAATGAAAAAAAAGAAAAATATGTTAATGACATTTTGATTGAAAGTAAAGGTCACTAAAGAATATCTCCCCCAGAGAAATTATTTTCTCTTCTCTCCCACCCCCCCCCCCAGCCAACCAGCCAACTATGTTGTCATAATGTGACACTGTTGGAGATTTCTAACCTGGCTTTGATCTCAAGATTTTCAATGAAAATAAATGAATTAAAAATATCATACAGCTTCATCGTTTAGAATTTTTTATGTAAGAGCTTGGATGTAACGGGCACAATTTATTTTAACTATCCCTAACAGTAACATGCCCCAGGTCTTAAGAGTCCTGGTCCACCCAACCCAAAAATTTAGCTTTATTTGTTTATTTCTTGAACTTTGCCTAGGTATGTACATGTTATAATGGGGCCAATTTTTTAAAATTTGATCAGGTCAATTCCTGCCCAATGTGTCGACATGAACTTCCAACAGATGATCCCCAGTATGAAGAGTACAAAAAACATCAGGTATTAATATCGGTTTGTGGAATGTTTATTTTTTTAACTATCAGTAACAAATGAAAAAAAAAGAGTGGGGAAATAGAGGGTCACACAAGAATGGCATGTTTTTCTAAAGACATTATTTATTGCCCCTGTTAGTTTGATCAACTCTCACCTTATGACTATTTCTCCCCCTGTATTTGGCAAGTACTGTTAATGACAATTTCTATGTTAGACTTACCATCATATGATATCTAGAAAATATTTTTTATATTAAAATTAAATATAAGTTAAGTATTTAGATCCAAACTCTTGTTTCCATGCTAACATATGTCGATTTTGCTGAGTTTAAGTTAAAGTGTTCATGTCGAGAGTGCAGTTTTCATTTGTTAAAAATTTATAATTATATATAACTCTTTATTCTGTCTGTAGGCTCATCTATTTCACATTTTTATTTTCGATTCTCTTACTCTTACTCTTAGGCTGAGCAATTGGTTAGCACAGGAGTTTAGCATAGGACACCTTTTGGTATTACTAGCTATTAGCGTCCCAAAGCAAGACTTACAAGTCTACTATTTATGATGCATTTTTTAGCCATTTATAAATATTTTTTTTGGTCTTCCACCTACCAATAAAAAATCTCTGGGTGTACAAAGTGGCATTTGTGCGTAATTTCCAACCTCTGGGCTAACATATTAATAGCAGTATTTAGGTCCATTGGAAAATTAAAATATGAGAAAGTGTGTTTTTTTTTAACAAGGGGTCATCCATACATGCATTAGCATATACACACTCAAGGGGAAGGGGGGTAGGGCTGATTTTGCATAAATTTGGGAGGGGGTGGGGGATCTGGGCAGAAAGTATGTACAGTACATTTATTTACAAATTTTCCAGTAATTACATGAATTTCTGATGTCTATAAAAGCAATAAATAGCAAATGATATCTCATAAACTCTAAAGTTTTAAAAAATATGCCGGGTAACACAAAGTTTTTTTAAATTGTTGTCAGACTGGTGCTTTGTGTTTCCACTAGTGCACTTGCTAGATTGTCGCACTAGGAACACACAGTAGACTAATAGTTGGTTGGTCCACCATTTGCCTGAGTAGTTTTTATTATTTTGTTTGGCTACTTCAGTCGCTCCTAACATTTTTAGATTCTCGTCACCCTTGCTGACTTTAGGTTTCCCAGTTGTCTTACCGGGTATGTCGAATTCTAAAAAAATTACACTTGTAATGGAGAATATGTTTTTTAAAAATGAAAAGGTTAGGTAAAAAGTAAATAAATCATGTAAGTAGCTCATCAAGCACCATCAAGTAATGATTTGTAATGAGCTTCTGCAAACAGTATTTACTCATATGAAATGGGTTTTTTTACTGTAACTTGTAATGTCATAATTATCCATAATAATATTGGTGGGGAGGTGCAAGCTCATCATTAATAGTATGTAAGGAGAGGGAGGTGTTAAAAAAAAAAAGCACACATGCAATGGGGGAGGGCGTGTTGAAAAAATGACTTATTTTGTGTACCGGTACCCAATGGCCCCTAACGGAGAAGTCATGCCCATATTCTTTGAGTTATAGTTTTATTGAGAGACGTTGAGAGAATTTTTTTAATGATATACATTATACAGTACGGTAATCATAAATTTTAGCAATAGATTAAAAATGTTTATTTCTGACAAAAAAATTCTTATTATCTGGCAATGAGTGAGTAAATTTTAAATACTGGTTTTACTATTAGTACCGGTACTTAAAACTTAGAAACTTAAAATTAATATTTATAAATAATAATAAATCAACACAATTCTTACTCTTTATTCTTCAGGCCAGAGCAAAGCAAAGAGAATTTGAATTGAACAGTCTGCATGATTCAATGTTTGGCTAGCGCTAATACTGCACTAATTACTATAAGAATAACTTAATTATTCGCGGACTGGTACGGCAATGAATTATTTTAAACTATTTTGACACAGGACCGGGTACGGTACATTGAATTTCCATGCAGTAGAAGCTACGGTACAGTAAAGTACATGGCACTTGTATTTACTGACAAATTTAAAACCGTGTTACATTTCTTTCAAAAGAAATGAAAGATACTGTACCTTACATTTACACATATAATGAATGACAATATGAGAAGAATGAGGTTAAATATAAATTTAAACTTTTTGTAATAAATGTTTTAAAATTGTAAATGTAAAAATGCAGTCACCTCTTACCATTTAAAGTCTACAACCAGTACTATAACTATACAGTACTGGAATGCACTGATAAAGAATAAATGGATCAGGTTGGCCAAGCAGTCAATTCTTCTAATGTAAAGTGTACTTCTGTGCAACATCAGAGTATTACATTTGCTTAGATCATTCTAAATCTAATCTAATTGAGTGACACTTCAATTTCAAATCGGTACCAGAAATGCAACAAACTTTTAATTAATAAATATATGTTCCTCACCTGCTTGCTTAGTAATATTATTGAATTGTTTTTTTTTTATACCGGTACCGTACCTGATATAAATTGATGCTGAATTTTTTGTCAATGTTAGTGTTAGTGATAATCCGTGAATATAGTCATAGGAAATTTGTACTTAGGAAGCTGAGCTTGCTTGTATTGGCGGAAATTCCAAAACTATTTGGATTCCAGCAAAGATGAGGAAGTCATGAGAGTGGTCAGGGAAGTGTATGCTTTGCTATACTCCTATTACATTACCAGACCTGTTTACTCTTACGATTTTGGCGTACAATGTACGATTTAGAGGTGTATAATTATATATACTGTATGTTTATTTTTTAGTATTAATAATTAAGATAATGTATTGAACGATTTTGTGATGATACTGTACACCCTCAAAAGGTCTGCGGTACTGGAATAAAAAAAATATAATATATGAATGAAAAAACGAATAATTGAAATTTGAATACCGGGTAGTGTGTTATTTTATCATGGAGGCATTTGATTTAAATATCAATGACATCAATTTTGCATACCGGTACTTATTTCTATGATAAAGTTTATGAAATAGATTTTTTGATAGTTTTAACTTTAAATAAACCAATAGACATGATATTGTGGGGCAGTGATTACTAAATAAAATATATGATATTGCCGAGTTGTTTGAAAGCAAGTTTGTATTTATTGAATTGATCTTAAAAATAAAAAGGTGTCAGTGAAATTAGTGTTTAATACTAATAGTATAATAATACTGGACAAATGTGAATAATTTAAATTCTTATTGGATAAGCAAATGATTATTATGAAAAAAGCACTGCTTCAAAAAGTGGACCTCAACAATACCCAGAAGACACTTCACGTTCTGGATCTTGTTTTTAGTTAGGGCCTAAAGCCAAAGTATAAATTATATAACTTCAACATAAACACTGAATTTTGTAAAAGTTAAGTTTGGTTAATAAGTTAATGGTAGTATCTGTTAGTTTTCTGGTTTTCATTAGGCCTTTATTATTTATTCATTGGAATCAATTGATTTACTTACACTTTAATTTAACATGTCAGTTAAGTATCTTTGCCAATACCATTTCAGAAGATCAGTTTGTCATTCATCATAGGTTGATTCATTCTTTAAAGACAATGGTTTAATTTATTTTGTTTCATGTTTTTTTTTTTAAATGTGCTTAGTCTTAGTTGGCAGATCAAATAAGTCATTGTAAGAATTGTTTTTTTTTTTAAAAACAAGCCGGACTTTTTGTGCTTAAAGTTAAATTAGGTAAGTTAAATTAGGTCAAGTAGGCATTCAGTAAAGCAGTAGCTATTTCTCTTGCTTTCAGCAGGATTATTGTTATGAGATATCTTAATTTGTTAAGGGGGTGGTCATATTTCTGAGGTTCTCATTAAAAAAAACTTGTACCCTACATTGTCATGTGGCTCTTGAAAGCTTTGGGACCTCTGGTGTAAGATTTTGCAGTTGGGGGGTATTTTTATACATCTTAAATCACACATTTTCAGTCAACTGTTGAATTACTGTTGGCACTAAGCGTGGCTACACCCATGGTGTAGACCAACAGACTGAGAACCACTAACTTAGGTGATAAAGCTCTATAGTTTCTCAAATTTGTGGGTTTTTTATAAAAAGTAGTCAAAATATTTTAGGTCCATGCAAATCAAGTTTGCCAGTAAACACTTAAAAATGACACTGGGATTCAACCATTCAATGGAATGATTTTTTAAAGAAAAATTTAAAGCTGTTTAAACCTTTTTCCATACATATTTATTAATCTATCATAGGTGTCTTGTTGGGGCACAGAATTTTAATAAGTTGGAAGTAAAAACTTTCCCCATCTCATATAACATGTTTCAAAACAAACAAATGCAATAACAACAAGAGAAGAAAATAAAAAAGATGGATGTTTAATACAGTAAAACATATAGAAATGAATTGACATTAAATGATGTGATAAAAATCCACAAAAATCTATCAGCACAAAGACATGACCTACACCACCTCTAGAACCTAGTAATCTGAAAAGAAATAGAAACAAGAATACTTTTAGAGCATAACTGGATATAACTTTGAACTATACCTTAAGTTACAGGCTGACATTTATATAATAATATTGACAGTAAATAAATTGCATGTTTAATGGTAAAATTTTACATTATGCTAAATCAGTGGTTCTCAACCTTACTAATTCGGCGACCCCTTAATACAGTTCCTCATGTTGTGGTGACCCCCAACCATAAAATGATTTAAGCTGCTGCTTCATAACTGGAGTATGTGTGTTTTCCGATGGTCTTAGGTGACCTCTGTGACAGGCATTCGACCCCAAAGGGGGACGTGACCCACAGATTGAGAACCGCTGTGCTAAATCAAGGTAAGTGCTTTTTTCATTTTAGTTTTAAATCAGTCTTTATGAGTGCAAGGCACAATTTCAAGAACATGTATTGGAAAAATATTCCTTATTTGGATGCTTTGATTTGCGTTATCTGCACTTGCTTAAATTTCACATTGCTGTACCAAGGCACATAATATTCTGCAAACTGCATAATAAAAATGCATTCTGACTCAAAGCAATTTCTAAAAAAATTTAAAATACAATTTTGAAAAAATGAACACGCAATGCCCATGATTTATTATCCTCAAACATGACTGTATGACTAGTATCTATATGCTATATCTTGAGTTTGTCCAGCACAAACACTGTGCAAGTACTAGTGTTTCCTTATATAAGAAATGCTCATGGGGGAAAAAAAATTGACCTTTAAAAAGCCACCGATACAAGAGGAAAAGAAATGCATCTAAAATAAGTACATCATCTTTGATACATGAAAAACTAAAAATAATAACATGCACTGACGCAACCCACTACATATATACAAAATAAACGCTCTTTAAACCCAGTCATCCCCCAAAATTAAATTAAAATATACAATATCTTAGAAAGAAAAATTTCTATGTTACAATGCAGGCAATATAAATATAATTAAAATAACAAAAAGGACAATCTTAAAAAAGCACTGCTAGATTACGTCCCACTGTAATAGAACCACAAAAGAACTAGAACTAAAACAATATTACCCACATATAACTGTTCTACTGAAAAGAGACTACACGGAATGGAGACAGACTCAAAAGTTAGTGCTACATGTGCAATCCTCCTTACTGACAGTAAAAGGGGCAGGCAGACACGTACTACATAAGCCTAACAGAAATCTTTTACGTCAATAAAGAAGACTGAAGTTTGAGGGTATTAGTTATTGAAAATAAGCCCTTTACAAAGAATCGCTTCAGGTTACACGTAAGTGCAATCCACTAGTCTACACACAGTGCCCACATTTATAACAATGCAGACTTAATTAGCAGACCATAGAATAGAAACATATCCTCAATATTGAACAATAAAATATTAGCTAACTGCACTGTACTCAACAAAGGCAAGTAGAAGTGACAGGGGCAGTTAACAATAAATAATAGAAATATCTACCCTGCCTAGCGATTGTAAGGATGATAGCCTCCATGAGCTGCGCCTCTCTTTTGCGCTTTACCGTAATTTGACTGACCTGTCAAAGAAATCAAGAATCTGTTAGAATTTTTTTTTTTTACATTTAACCAAAAATCACATCCAAATACGCAAATAGGAATACAAATTTAATTTTTTCATTTAAGAGATCGTCAGAATCTGAATTCAAATAACTTCAATGAACTTTAAGAGCATAAAGAAAGACTGATTTACTAGCACAACACCGTACAACAAAAATCTTTTTTAAATTGCTATACTTGAGACTACTTCAGATCTTATCACAGACAGGACGCAAACTAGCAGCTTAACTGAATTTTTCGAACTTCTCATTGCATTTTTAAATTTGGACAAAAACTACTTTTGTAGACCGGCAAGAACATATACAGCAGAAAGTACCTATGTAGCTTGGATCACACATAAATATATTGAGTAACAGAAATGAACGAATTCTTCATGTACAAAATCTGTTTATTTCTCAAAAAAAAAAAAAAAAACAGATGTTAGCTACAAAAAAATTAAGCATTAAATAACCATAGCAAACACACAAAAGAAACAAAAAAACGCTAACAAAATTTCAAAACTGTAAAACCATCTTTTAAAAAAAGAAATGAACGAATTCTTCATGTACAAAATCTTTTTATTTCTAAAAAAAAAAAAAAAAAAACAGATGTTAGCTACAAAAAAATTAAGCATTAAATAACCATAGCAAACACACAAAAGAAACAAAAAAACGCTAACAAAATTTCAAAACTGTAAAACCATCTTTTAAAATATGAAACAATATCTGATGGCTTGATAAAATAAATCACTTTAAATTTTAAATTAAAACAAGCTTTGACAACAAACTAGAAAACCACAATCAAGAGACCTTTGGTTTTCTGGGTAAAATTTGACCAGCTAGATATCACTAAGAATTAGATTACACGATGTTCTAAATTACATCAGGAAAGCTGATCTCTAGGGAACCAAAATTGTCCGAAGTATCCATATTTAATATGGTGTAAATTAAAAACTAAATTCTGAAATATAATTAAAGTAATCTAATTCTTACTGTCAGAATCTGATCAAACCCAATAACATGGGAATGCTTAGCCAAAAAAAAAAAACCTATTAGAAAAGGTATTTAAAATTTTTACTGAGATATCAAGACACCCAAAAACACATTTGCTTAAATTTGCAGTATACTGAGGGTTTTCAAAACCACTGAACATAATCAGCACCATATAAAATAGATGATTATTCTTTATAAGCATTCCCATGCTCAGGATGGAGTGATGATCAATACGAGCACGGTTGATTCACTCACCTCCTCCCTGTCCATAGCCCCAATCATCATAACCTTTAAAATTATAAATTAAAACTGTTACAATTGTTGCAAAACTAACCAGGCAACATATAAATTAAAAACTTTATGCCTAGTAAACCTTTCAAAAATATCCACAGCGTGCGCACTCACACATCAGACTTTAGTCATAACACATGAAACTCGTTAAAACCTTTAGATTTGACTCACCTATCAAATTTATTAAAATTCTACAACTTAATACATCAGTTAAGATATTAAAAGGGAAATTTTGGGAAAGAAAAAAAAAACTAGTGTTTAAACAACCATCATTAATTTTTTTAAATTTAGTGGTGCATTTCATAACTTGTAGTGGGACCCATTCTCTAAGCAAAAGTAAATGATACATCGAAATTACTAGTGACATCACCAGGTAATTGCTACTAATGTTAACTGGGTTGGCCATCTAAAAGGATGCTTTTAAGTTATATCAATCATGTAACCAGTATCCAACAATGAAAAGCAAGAAAAGGGTGTTGAACTCCTATAATTAAAAGCTAAAAATCTGTCTGAGCCGACTTCGTGAAACACAACAGAGTTCACACAATGATCTTTCCTAAAACTTAACTAGATATCTAGATAACATGACAGGCTCCTTTTAAAACAAGATAAAATTAATCAAAAGAGAAATCCATTCCCCAAATATAGTTTATTCAACTCTAAAGGAAAACATTCATATATTTATGTGTTTAATATTAAAATGCTCTGGAAGAAAGCTGTTTGTTTTAATAGAAGAAGCCACACTATAATAAGTAACTAAAAAGGGGGCTATGTCAGTTTACAAAGAAGATAATTTCCGTTGACTTAAATTATGGGTATGATCTATAAAAAGAACAGCAAGGTTAAAGAGATTTAAAATTAAAACTCAAAACCTAAATATTCCTATTCATCCACAACACCAAGTCCATGCCACACATATAGATGAACCTTGACAACTCCATGATCTTGACAACCAGTACAGCCAAGTTGCGATCAACATATTAAGTCTGTGCCATCGATCCTGAACATACTTAAGCATGCTAGTGTCTTAACATAACGATATATAATAATTAAATTTTAAGAGAAAGGACAGGCACCTTTAGCCATTATCATTAACAGAAAGAGAAAAAAAATAACCCACCCTTCACAAAACAAAATTAATCATCCCACCCTTCATCATCGAAGTCAAATTACTCACCACCATATCCATAACCATAACTCTGGTCATATCCACCGTTATTCCATCCGCCATATCCACCGTAACCACTTCCATATCCGTAATCGCCTCCATATCCGCCATAACCATATCCCTGATCATAGCCAGGATATCCGCCATAGCCGTACCCATAACCTTGATTGTAACCATATCCTCCTTGAAAGCCACCTGTAATATAAGGTAAAACAAATTTATTATAAAAATTAATACCAAACAGAAAATATGATATGAAATCAAATGTTTAAAACACTAGAATTATGACTCTTAAAATTTTTAAAAGTGAAGTTTAAAAAATGCACACCTCTTCCACCACGACCGCCTCGCCCAGCAGGCCCAAATCCACGACCCCTTGGACCACCTCTTACATTAGCTCCACCGGGGGGAGTTGCTTTCTTCACTTCAACCTAGATAATGAAAAAGAATGCTTTAAATCCCATTTATACGCATTATATCACTTAACAGAGCACAAAGAGATTCGGGACAGAAAACAAAACAAGAGGTATTATTATATTAAGTTGGTCCTTTATGAAATCAACAGGGTCATAAAACCTTGCAAACTGAACAGTTTTATTAAATATTACCATTGAAAAACACCCCAATACAACAAATTCAAAGTGAAAACACACTCAGTTTGCATAGTCTTACAATTTAAAATTACAATTCAACATGCAAAAGCTACAACTACCAACTTCTGGAACAAAACCCCAGCACTGGATTGGCAAAATAGCGATTAACTGGAAAGCCTCAGCCCTTACAATATGATAGAAATTATTAAGAGAAATTTAAGCATGAACCTGAAAAAATATTTGAAAGAACAAAAAATGAAGCTATTAAAAAATAATAAAGGACCAACATCTCTTCTCTTAAAAAATCCAAAAAGCACTGTCCCAAATCTTCTTGTACTAGTACTGAAAAGTTGTGTAAGAAAATTGTTGGGGAAATACAGTTTAACATTTATGATTAAATTCTCAAAAAATCAGGAAATTCTGGTCAATTAGCTTGGAATCCATCAAAAAAGGAAAAACAAATTGGAAAGGCACCTGTTTGGCAATGAGAGAAAAAAATTAAATCCATGAAATTGATCTTTTGTTAGCATTTAATGATTATCTTTATTGGCAAGGGATAAATGTAAACTTTATTATTTCTTTCAAGAAAAGAAGCATGGATTAACTGTGTTTACATTTATCTTATGAGCATAGACCAACTTAGAGTTTATGGTACCTCACGGCCCACATCACTCCGAGCTCCTTTGTTCCATCATTTCCGTCTCCTGCAGGAAAAGTGGAACAAAATCAGCTTCAGTCGCAGTTGCACAACATACACAGGGGAAACAAAGCTCATTTTATCATGCTGCCATTTTTAAAACTGAAGTGGGTCTTATGATTCCCAAAAGTAAACAGGATATTTTGTTTAACAATGACATTTACCAGAACTGTAGACAATTAATTCAGGCCAGCACTTCACTGTGGGATAATTTAACTTGCTTATTCAGATCCTTTAAAACTTTTAACTTACACTTGATGGAAAAAAGGTGAAAATTACAAAAAATTTTACACAGGAAAGCTTTAAAAAAAAAAAACTAGCATATTAATAATTCTATATTATGTTTAAATACCGGTTTGAAGAAAAGCATACCTCTTGTGTTCCAATTTTGTGATTTGTCTGCTCCAAGCATTTTTTCATGGCGGCTGCTTTTTTGAATTCTACAAAACAGAATGCCCTCCTTTGTTCCTTTGTTTTGTCAAAAGGAAGTTCCAGTTTTTCAACCTGTTGTTTTTGAAAAATAAAGACAATTGTCAAAAATGTATTTTGGGCAGATTTAAATATATCTTAATACAAATCCTTAACAAATATGACTCAGCAAAATGTTTAGAGTAGCCAATTAAGATGAAAGTAGCAGAAATCTACTCACTGTGCCAAATGTCTCAAAGTAAGCTTTAACTTCATCTTCGGTTATTGCTGGATCAAGTCTACCGACAAAAACTTTTTTGTTGACTGGTCTAGGATTTGCCCGTTTAGGGTCTATTGTTCTACCATGCAATTTGTGTTCCTTTTCTGCTAAAACCTATGGAAGATCATAGTTAATGTGGTCTTAAACTTTTAAAAATGCAATTTCAAAATGGAAATTATACAATATATTGTTCATTATACAATATATTGTTCAACAACTATCATAGACAAAAATGAACTATGAGGTAATTTAAATAGAGCAAATACCCTTAAGTTGTGCAAGGTAAAAAACAAATACCTTGTCAACAGACTCTGCTGAGGCAAATGCAACAAAACCGAATCCTCTTGACTTCCTTGTTTCTAAATCTGTTTTAAGTGTGCAGTTTGTGACTTCTCCAAATTTTTCAAAATATTCCCTGAGATCCTCTGGTGAAAAAAAAAAATGTATGCAATTGCATTTAATTTCAACAAAGTGGAACTACTTTTTGGGATAAATTTAATAATCTTGATTTGAAAAAAAAAAAAATCCATTGAAAACTTACTTGTGGTTGTTTCCCAACTTAGTCCACCAACAAATACTTTTCTGTGGAAAAGAAAATATACATCAACATCAAGAGAACTTAACAAATCATGACTTTTGTTGATGCTGTTATGCATAAACTGAAACTAAAGATGTATGACCTAATTTTTAGATGAAGATTTTAAAAACCTTAACACAAACATTAGCCTTTACATTCCTTGTTGCATCAACAATTTCAACCAATTCCTGCAATATCTAGTAATAACATTGAAAAGTACCCTGTACAGGACTTTGTCCTACTTTCTTGGTGTCCCCTGGCAAACACCACAAATTTATACAAATAGTACAGCACATAAATGCATGCTTAAATTTGGCTGGTCACATGACAAAACCATGTCTGAAAAAACCAGTAAAATACCTCTGTTGCTTTGGCCTTAAATTACAGGCTTTTCATTCATGCAGTGTGTAAAACTTGGCCTTTGGGGTGTGATTCCCGGCATTTTAAAAAATATTGTTCACTACTGAAGTAACATTTCACCAACAACAAATGAAAAAAAAAAAATGAACACAAACTAAGCTCTAGAGAGGGTTTGAGTTTGATGCATAGAGGTAGAGATAGCTCCCCATGCAATTGAGACCTTTTAAATAAAATTTCTTTGTCAAAACAAAATTAATTTCATACCAAACCCACTTTTGAACAATCTCAAAAGGATGCGCTAAAATTGTATAAACATATGTACCGGTATACATATATACATGCACACACACACATATATATATATATACATACACACACACTTATGCAAGTGCAAATTGTTTATTCAGTATGGTAAGCACTAACTATAGGTTTTCCAGCACTTTGCAGACATTAAGTACAGAATCCTGCACAAGATGCAAGGCCTGGTAACAAGCTATGGTATCAAAATTTGAATGGAAGAGATGTCAATTCTAAAAATAGGTAAGCAACAGATTTAAAGACATTGTAAGTTTGGGTTAAACTTTAAGTGAAAATAACCCACCAAATGTGGCTCTGTAGACAATGTTTAAAGAGAAACTGAAAATTAAGTAAGTATTTTTTCCCCTCGTAAATTATTTTGGGATAACTCTCTTAATTGAGACATGAAGGAAAATTTTGAAGTTAATAAAAAAACTGGGTAAGAGATTTGAGATATGTTTATAAGAGCAGTAAACTGTAGTTATTTAAGGAATTGATGAAGATAAGACATCTTATAATAAATTTCGGGGTACTCGAGATGAGCTCATTCAAATTCAAAATGAGCTGTCAAAATTCCATTTTTCATATTTGAATATGAACACAACATGAACATTATTCAACAAAATATAGTCATGTGTATCAAATTTTTCGTATTAAAATGAGAAACAAAACCTAATAGCTTATTGATGGGTAAACTCATGTCCCTTAAAAATTTAATTTATTTTAAATTTAGAGAGCAAAATCAAAATGTGATAAAATAAAAAATTTACAATATTCAGATCATATTAGAGACTTGGGGGTTTCTTTCATTCATTACTCTTTTTGCTAAGTGCAGCATTAGTTTTTCACAGAAGCCCAACAATTGTACAAAAGACTTGTGCTGCTTCAACTATTTCCAACAAATTGCAATATATATTTATTTATATGGCAACTTTAGCCATAGGTCTTTAAATAAAATATTTAAAAATACTAAAGAAATCTTAATTGTAAATCTATTTTACTATGAAGATATAAATTTTTCTTCCTATTTCTCTACAACAGATGTGAAGTGAAATAGGCCAAACTTCTAAAAAAAGCCATTTATATAGGAGTGGAAGTTTCACTATTTAAATAAAGTCAATTAAATATCTATTCATTTGACTTCTTAATAATACTTATCTCAACTTAAAATAGTGTTTTTAACTTTGTTCAGTAATCCTATTACTTAAGATTTAAAAAATTATTTGCTGAGGTGGACAGGGCTACATTTATGAAAATGTTTTATAATTCAGGAAGGAAATACCCATGTGGAGACTTTTGAAAATTTACAAAAATATGGAGCAGTTTAGGGATATTTTTAATGGCCCATTCTTGTAGATAGTTGGATGCTTTAAACAGTGATTATCATGAAAATCACAATTGGTGGAGAATGTTTGAGAAATTAAACAGACTTAGCATAGTTAAACTTGATATATTTTACAACAAAATTCTAAATTTAAAACCGGGAGACAGCATTGTTCTGTATCAAATTCTATGTAAATTTCGGGTTAACGGTATGGGTTTTGACAAGAGCTGTCTAACCCTAAGCGCAGTGACATCACTTTGAGGAATCCCAAAACAGGGCTAGGGGTGAATAGACCTATTATTTGTAGGACCGGAACAATGTCACATGTGTGATATTTCTGTTCCTTACTGAACATATTCGCATCATATACGATACAGTTAATATGAAGTATATTCAAATGAAATTTTCAATTAATGTGTATTAAAATTATAACTTACACATTTCAAAAGAAAAGGGAAAAAAGAAACATATCCTTGATACCCCAAGACCAGTGGAAAAAAGAGCTTTTCTCTGTTTAGTTGAAAAATCGATGTTAAAACTTCGGTAACAAAAGGGAGACTACTGTACTGTACAGTACTGCTTAAATTGCATTTGGAATGATCTAAATTGCATTTCGAATGATCTATGGACTGGGTTCCCCAACCCCTCCCCCCAATGTAAATACAAAATGAGAAAGAAATCTGAGAAAAAAAGAGGGGAGACCATGCCCCAGAACCCCTCCCTCAATTTCAAAAATATAAAATAAGAAAACAAAAAAGTATGATTATAAACCTCGAAATCTTTTTAGTTTGACACTGTAGACGATAGTTGACCTGGGGGAAACTCTGTGACCTATATACATTGCTAGCTGTACAGCTAATACAAAATCAACCCAATTCTCTAAAATATGTGATAAAACCTATTTAACAAATATGACAATGACAGCAACCGCATTTTTCTCCAATACCAATACATATTCATATGCAATGTTTACATTTTGAAGTGAACAAAAAGTTGAACAAGGGGCATGTAACTGCAAGAATTTGCCATGAGATGAAAACTAATTTACCAACACGAGTTGAAAACTGATTTACCAAAGTAAGGCCTACCTATCTAAAGTTATGTGATAAAGATTTTTTCTTTTTTAAATGAATGTTTCAGAATGGTTTAAGCTTATGTAAAAAGAATACACATTTAAAGATCAATGTAGTAATTGCTCACAACTTAAAAAGTGTGGCTGTCGACTATCACTAGCCCCTAGTATATTCATACAAACAGCTCTAAGAAATAACCTTAAAGTAAAAAAAAAAGAATTGTCAATAATTCTGACAATGTGAGTTACTGATAAAAGTGAACACATAAATAGGACTATAATGAATATTTTCAAGATTCTATAAAATATGTCCATCTGAACCAGATTGACAGATTGCTGAATTCAACAAAAATCAGAATAGTACCTGGCCCTGGAATTATTCATGATTATAGCCTTTTGTTAAATTATATTAAATACTAGGTTGTTTTTTTATTTTAGTAGTTGGGTTAATCTGTTTAAAAAAAAGCTGACCGAAAGATTGTAATCTTAAACGTTATTCTAGTCTCCATACTCTAGCCACAGCAGTATTTTTTCTGAGCCTCAAAGAAGCCATTTTAGCCCAGCACCACGATTGAACGCGGTTATCGTTATAAAAGGATTTTGTCTTGAAACTTGGCGCTATAATATGTATAGTTAAGTTGTCAAAAATGAATTCCCACGCACAGGGTCTAAGTGATGTATGGTTGACAACAACTAGAACTTTTAAATGTTAAATATGTTAATGGGAATTTTTAGTTGCAATTGGAATAAAGAGACGAAGGCTTGTGAATAAGGGAAAGTTTCGGAGTCTAGCCTCGTTTTCAAAATACCCTAATTTGTATTGCACGGCATGCACCTCGGAAAGATAAAAAAAAAAAAAACTCACCTGTCATCATCCCCATCGTCGTCTTCGTCAACCGCCATCTGTTGGTTTTCTGAATTATCTTCTGTATTTTCTGCATTACCATTTTGTTGTTCTTCAAACTTTTCATATCCTTCATCTTGTTGCATTTCGTCAGCCATGTTAATATTAAAATATAAAACACTAAATTACACTAACACAACTTCCCCACGCGCACAAACGCCAAGCCTCTTCCTGAAAAGAAAGAGATCACGTGACTAATCTAAAATACAGTCTCGCATTCTCACGAGCTTACCATAATTTGTCACACTAGTAATGTTGTTAATTTTTTTTATTTGTATCGAAAAATATTTTAACTAGTTAAAATTGTACAATATATGTATAGAAATATTTGGTTTAAAAAGTATTTTATGATAAAATAGCCTCCATGACGTCATGTGAGCGGGAGGATTTTTACCATTTTAAAAGGAACGATAATGTCCTATTTCCATTTATAGAAACTTTGAACATAAGTTGTTATTTTGTTTTTATAACATGATTCACTGATACACAGTTAAATATTCTCAGATTTTATATTGGCGAAATTCACTATTATTTACCCAAACAGTAAAACTATTACAAAAGTGGGAAGATATTTAACATTGACTGGGCCCATATATCACTTTCTATTTTTGGCTAAGGCCAGGCCAAGACCAAATCCAACGCAAGACAGACCTCAACTCTACTCTATAGAGTTATAGGATACATATTCAATGTAAAAATTTACTTTTGCCTTTCAAAACACTATCAATTCTCATATGCCCAACTCATTGAAATATATTGACCCAACCTTATATTCACATTTTTTAATTTGTTTAATTTTTTTTTTTTACAAATAAAAGCTATGGTATTATTGGTATGGACATAATTTAACAACCAGTTCGTTGCCCTAATAACAATGCCTAATGACCATTTTAAATGTTAAATATTAACAAACGATAAACTATAATTTAATGCGTTTAAATTTTAATAAGGTGGCGTCCATTAATTGCGTAAACATTTTTTACGCAATTTTTTACCCCCCCCCCTTTTTTTTTTTTTTTTCAACAACTTTAAAAAAACCCAATGAATCATAATAAAAAATAAATATATAAATACATTCTACTTTGTGCTGATCTATTTCAATGATACAAAATTATAAGAAAACTTGTTGATCAACAAGTGTTCACACCTAAATTTTAAAATGCAGTATCAATTCAAAGGTTGTTAAAGGCTGAATATCATTATTTGTGGAAGTATAAATATGCTTATTGCCAGTAGGCCTATAGTTGACTATTGTAATATAATTTCTAGCTGCTATCATCTTCCCATGAAGAAGCCAGGTGTTGCTCTCTCGTAACAATAACAATGGGCATAGTAGCTGATTTATCATTTTCATCTTGCGGAATTTATATATCTGACAAGTCAAAATCATCCTCATCTAATCTTTAAACTAGATCAATTTACAGTCTGCGAAATTTCTTTCGATCAAATTTCTGGATACGTTTTTAAACACGAACGAACTTTACAGTGTGGGATATTGAAGGACGATTATTGCGGTCGATATTTACGTTTCACGATTTTCATTCTTAGTTTGTAATTTAAAAAAACAACAATTGGGTAAGTGTTCAGTAATGACCGCGTGTACCAATCCAATGCAGGCCACTTTAAATTTAAAATCCTTTTGTTTCAATGTTTGGTATACCGGTACTGTAATAATTGCAGACGTAAACGTAAGTTTAATCGGAGTAAATATTTTTAAAATATATATAATGTAGCATATTTAAATATTTTTGTTTATCAGAGCCGTTCTTAGGAGTTTGGGGGCCCTAAGCATGGAGCGTAGGTTAGGGGCCCCAGAAAGGGGAGGGGGAGGTGCCGGGTTGGAGCTCCCTCGAGCTGAGGAGAAAACACCACCCACCACTGCGGCACCTCCATTCTGCCTTCATCAATGTTTCCTCTTTGCTCGCGTGTAACCAATAACCATAGTGATAATTCCGCCACTAGAGAAAATGTGTACTTCTGAAATATATGGGCATGCAGGTGGTAGTGGGGCCCTAGGCGGTTGCCTAGTTTGCCTATATGCCTAAGAATGGCTCTGGTGGCACTTATTGCCTTATTTTGAGGAAGGAGATCGCCCCCCCCCCCCGGCTAGCAATAATTGGTTTGTGTGTGCATCGTTGCAATATCCCTTAGGTGTTAAGCGGCCCTACGGGGGCCCCCTCACGTTCGGGGCCCTACGCGGATGCGTAGTCAGCGTATGCCTAAGAACGGGCATGTGTTTATTGTTTTTTTATTAATAATCACAGCAAAAACTACGGCGGCCATATTAACTATTTTAAGTATTTGCAATAATCGTTGCGGTCCTGCCTCAGACAATTCTTTGTTCTACCAGTAAACTAAAAATGTTAAGACAAATTTTAATGTATGATTAAGTAAAGGAAACCCATGGGTGAAAATTGCCCAGTGCGGCAGATGGCTTGGCCGCTCGCGTCTTATGGAATTTTTCTTTACACAAATCGTCAAAACCCGCGTCTTATATATGGGTGCGTCTTATATATGGGTGCGTCTTATATATGGGTGCGTCTTATATATGGGTGCGTCTTATATATGGGTGCGTCTTATATATGGGTGCGTCTTATATAAAATATTTTTTTTATACAAATCGTCAAAACCCGTATTTTATAAACGAGTGCGTCTTACATGTGCAAAAATACGATAGTTTTTTAAAATAAGCTGGTGCACAGACGTGAAAGCATTTCTACTCAAACTTTTTTGTGTTCTTATTATTTTTTAAAGAGTACCCGTTGGTAAGGAGCTGCTTCACTTTCATTTCCATCCCCTGCAAAAGAATATAAGCCGAATCCCACGCAGGTTGGGGCAGTTGGTTCTTTAAGACTTGAAATGACAGTTTCAGAATCGCTTTGCCTACTAAGAGTGTCATAGGAAAAAAATAATTAAAATCTCCCTAAACCCTTTCGGTCGTGTTGTTATTGGAAGTGAATCGATCAGCAGTTCAATTAAATGTTGAAATTCAAATACAAAATAGGAAACCGATAGCCGATAAGAAGTGGACCCCCAGTTTGATCAAGATGCTAATAATAATTTAAAAGCATTTGCTCATGCATTAATTTCAATGTTTGGCCCTACCTACTTGTGTGAGAAGACGTCTTTGAAAATTTTATGTAAGATATAATAGCTACAGAGCAACCTTAACTGGCGAAAAAATTTGATGATCTTGAGAATTAACATCGAGCCCAAACTGAATGTCATTAAGTGAAAAAATGAACACGTTTCATGTTTCTCACAAATGTTTTAAAAAGACAATTGTAGATTCCCCCCCCCCCCCACACTTTTTTTTTTTTTTTTTTTATTCATAGAAATTAACGACAACTCCTGAGCAGACATATTTTTTTTTTTTTTTTTATTTGGCCACTGAATTAAATAAATGTAATCTAATTTATGTCAGAAGAGCACCGATTTCTTGCTTCGTGTTACTTTTCGATAAGGAAATAAAAGTGTATTTACACATTAATGTAAGGTGGCCATTTTTACTGATTTTACCATGACAGTACATTTTTAAAAAAAAAAAATTTTTATTTTGTTTTTGTTGTTGTTTTAACCTTTGTCCTGGTTGGTCGGGAGATGAAAAATATAAAGTTTAAGACTAAAGTGTGCTTTTTTTTTTTTTAGATTATCAATTTTTAATCTATCAAAAGGTTGAGTACATCTGATCTCCATACATAAATAAACAACTCAACTAAAGGAAATACCGATATAATTAATATCAATTGGCATCGCGATAATTCAGTGGTACCTCGTTAATCCGTTCCAGATCCTTGGACTTATACCAAACAGGACATATACCTAACGGATTTCCCCTATAAGACACAGAAGTAAAAGGATTATTCCGTTTCCATGAAAAAAAAAATCATATTGTTATTGGCATATTAAACATTTATTGACGTGGTTGTATAAAATAATTTAAACACTGCTTAATACTAAAATACATAAATAAAAAAGAACTTAGGTGAAATAAATGAAAATCTAACTAACCTCACTTTACCTTGGCGAAAAAAGTCAAGTGCCTACTAATATGGTGCGGAGGAGGAGATGTATTGTTTTGAAGGAGAGACCGCTTCCAATACAACTTTAGGAATATGACATTCTGTTGTTTTTTTTCGTTGTTTTTTTCTGTCGCTTTTCCCCAGTTGAACCTGGTTGAGGCGCACCAGGTTTGACTTTTACAAAAATTCTGTCTAAAGAGCTTTGCTTTTGCCTTCTCCTCAGGATGTTTCGAAAACGTGACATTGTCTGGTCATTCCAGACCATGCTATTACAACTTGTTTGGGCTTTGTTGGGGTGGTACTTCTCTGCAAAGTTTTTTTTAAAACATCAATCCATTTAGCAAAGATTTCCGTGATTAATGAAGCAGGAGCTTCCCCTTTCTTCTCCTCCTCAGCCCCCGAATAGAGGTGCATCCATCCTAGTCTTTGCGTGATGTGTCATTTTGACACATACAAGTTCTAGCACCCACGGGGGTCGTATTATAAACGAAGGACGTATACCAAGCAAAATGTTTCTGGTCCAAACAGGACGTATACCAAGTTGGACTTATTCCAAAGCGGGCGTATACCGTGGTACCACTGTAATTTTTTTTATTCCAAAAAGAACGCTTCACTAACGGGACACCTTTCTGTTTAGTCACAAATACTTGATTATTTTTTGGACACCAATTGTGCAAAAGGATTTTAAATGTCCTGGTTTTGATTTTTAAGAAAAAAAACAACCAGCCTTTACATTGATGAGATACCTTGACAAAACATACATTATTAAGCCACCTTAACTTTACATTGATCAGACACCTTGACAAAACATTACATTATTAAGCCACCTTAACTTACATTGATCAGATACCTTGACAAAACATACATTATTAAGCCACCTTAACTTTACATTGATCAGATACCTTGACAAAACATACATTATTAAGCCACCTTAACTTTACATTGATCAGATACCTTGACAAAACATACATTATAAGCCACCTTAACTTTACATTGATCAGATACCTTGACAAAACATACATTATAAGCCACCTTAACTTTACATTGATCAGATACCTTGACAAAACATACATTATAAGCCACCTTAACTTTACATTGATCAGATACCTTGACAAAACATACATTATAAGTCACCTTAACTTTACATTGATCAGATACCTTGACAAAACATACATTATAAGTCACCATAACTTTACATTGATCAGATACCTTGACAAAACATACATTATAAGCCACCTTAACTTTACATTGATCAGATGCCTTGACAAAACATACATTATTTATTTATTTATTTATTTATTTAGGCATTTTTATATAGCGCTTACCTTAAAGCTCTAAGCGCTTTACAATTATTAAAAACATGTAAACTAACTAAAATAAAAATGAGACATTAGGATAGTAACTACTATGTGTTGTCGTCCGTCGAGGATCGACGATGACCATCGAGTCGTCTGGTGACTGATGACTTGCGCGGGTGACTTTTGTTTAAAGTGAGGAAGAGTTGCGCAGCGTCAACCTCACTCTCTCGTCCGAGCCCACCATATCCAGTGGCAAGACTTTACGTCAAGACGACCAGGGATGGGTACGGTTGCAGGAATTGACATTGTATGCGCCTTACGGGACTCCAACTCCGGGTTTGAATTCAGAGTTTCCTTCTCTTAGATGAGTTGCCGACTATAGAAACAATGACCAAACATTATAAGCCACCTTAACTTTTGGGGAAATCTGTCCAGCCCCAGAAGCCCGGCGAAATATTTTTAATGGTTTACATCTAAATAAGTTTGTCAACACCCTGGCCTATAATTTAAACATTGGTAGCTCAACGTCCATACATTCACAGAGTCCGTAAATATGGGACGTAAAATGACTTGTCTGTAAAAGTTATTAATAACTTTTAGTTGTCTGTAAAAAAAAAAATATTTTTAAATTGAAATTGGATTTGAAAAGGAAAAAAACACATTTTAAAGTTTTAAAAAAAATTTAATCGCATGTGATCATAACAATGAACAATTTCCTACTGATTGGCATATCATCCAATTAACACAAGCACATAGTATAGGATTTTGCTTTATTATAACATGTGTAAAAACTGCAAAGTTCCAAATGTGCTTTTCGCAACCTGATATAGTTTTGAATAAGTCAAGGTGTAAATTGTGCTCTCTTTGAATATGTGGCATTGGCAATATGCTGCGCCTACAGCTTATGATCAGCTTTTGCTCTAATCTCCTGCAGTGTTTCTTTCAATTAATTCCGGGGTGAGGCATTTAAACCAGTAGCTGTCAGTTCCATAATTAATCTGGCGCCAGGATCGGCTCTGACCTGGTTGTGTTTATACAAATCTTTAATTTTTAGTCGTTGCAAATAGCAATCTTGTTTTATACTGTCTATTTTATTTAAAATTATAAGTTTAAACACCTCTATTATTAATAGAAAGAAAATGTTAATAATATTTGAGTTCAATTAAAAAGGTGGCGGTAAGCCGTAACGCGTGTTCTTTTTAAAGAATAAATTATTAAAAAGCTCTGCCAGCATCATTGATTATTATAATATATATATTGGCCTACATACCGCTTCACAACCGGAGCGTATCGAGGACACGTGGCGCACTTAGCAAGAACAACAAATGTGTGCCTCTTTCAAGCGATAAAAAAAACAATTTTTATGCCATTAAGTATTAAGTACCATAGTCCACAGGGGAGTCACAACCACAATCGGAATTAATTTAATTTATCTGGAGGACAACTGGATCAAGGTGTCGAAGTCATTATTAGCTCTGGACTGTGATATTAGTTGCACTGCCCCACCCCTCCCACAAACACACTTTTTCATCAATAAAATTATCAGAACAAAGCAAGTTAAGCAACGTGTCAATCTGTAAATTTAAAAAAAAATCACTGGAACAAAAACATTTAAAAAAAACATTTGGTCTTTGACGAATTAACAAGGTATTTTAGTATTATAAAAACATGCTGAGAAACAAGACTCTAGCCTAATTATTAGTCATATTGTGGACCAAACCTTTGATCCAGTGCACATCATATGAAAAGGCCTAACAATTATAATATTTTTTAAAAATATTTTAAAATGTTTCATCACGCCCTTTTAAACATGTATAAAATGATTTGTTTATAAAGAATTTTTCAGGATTAAGATAATTATGCGAATGAAATTTAATGCCTTTTTCAAACTCAAACGGAAATACATGGTAACCAGGCAACGTTGGACGCTTTCAGTAAATGGAGATGGTGCTGTAAAAAAGCTTCATTGGAATCAACATCAGAAATACTTTTATAACTGCAGTCAAGAGTGTATTGTATTTTCAAATAGTAATCAAGATATAACTTAAGTTTTATTGTAGATTTCCTACTTAGATATTATTATTTTTAAATGTGCAATGTCTCAGTAATTTAATGTTTAAATTTTACTTAACTTAATTAAATAATTAAATACTTTTTAGTAGTTAGTAGTTAGTAGTATAGTTATTAGTATTAGGAGAATTTCAATTTCAATGCCATCAATGAATGATGCAATGAATGCATCCAATGCAATGAGTGATTCAATCAGTCAATGTCAATATTTAATAATTATTTTATTAATTCAATTTTTATAATTCAATTAATCTAAATCTAAATAAAAATAATCTTACTCTTCTATTAACTTCTAATTATTATTATTATTAGTAGTAGTAGTAGTCCTAAGTAGTATAAGTATTAAATCTTTGCCAATACTAATACTCAATACTAATGCAAAGTGAGGTGCATTTTACTGTAAAAGAAAAAAATAATAAAAGTTATCAGGCGCTGCACCTAGGTGACTAGGTAGGTTATGAACATTTAATGCACGTTTTTATTTGTGTGCAAAAATAATAATGAATAATGTGTCCCATGCAAAGGGCATAAGAATTAAGATTAAGATACTTTGCTCGTTACCAGAAATAAGAAATTCTGATGAGTGTTAATAGTTTACTTGATTTCTGAATCAATGAATATTATGAAACATATCAATATTGAATAATCATTCCTAGACCAAGATGGGCAACCTTTTTCCAAAATAGCCTCAGTTGTGGTAAATGAAAATTAAAATTCATCACTCTATATATAAATCACAAAATAGTAAGTCAAAGTCAAATGAGAGTAAACACCACATAAGGCTAGTAATGATTAATAGGATATTCCCTGATCCTGGTTTGACCTGGATCGTCCTTGTTTAGGAATGTTGTCCTGGTGTCTCGAAAGGTTTTAAATTCTTTCCTGGTGTCAATCACATGTTTTACAATTGAAATAAGCTTATATTGGTTAATATCTTTCACATTGTTATTATCAATGTTCATAGGCTTTTTTAATGTAACTAATTAGTTAAAATTCTAAGTGCAAAGACTATTGAGTTTTAGGCTTGTATTGTTCAACGTGCGCTTATTTATGAATAATAGTGACATTTCTTTAAAAAAGTGGATGGTAGTGAAAAATATTAATAGTCTTTCTTCCCTCAAATACCCCAACACACATGGTTAGGCTTTTTGGACCTTGCATTCTACCACATGGGGAAGTTTAATTTATTGTTACTTGGGGTGAACTCCCAAAATTGTGCCCCTGCTCCCCACAACACACACACGCATCAATTAAGCTATATAAAGTTTGCTATGAACATGCCAAATGTGATACCTACTCCCATGCCCATAGGTCTCTGTTTCAATTCTTAAAATTATGGTTAGCCTAATTGTAAATTTACACTCCACTATAGGCAGGCTTTTAAAATATTTTAGTTGGTCTTCTGGTTGTACCTAATAATAGCTGCTGTATTGTATCTCAACAATTTTCAAACTATCATTTTTGTATAAATATTTTTCTTGTTTAAAATAAAAATAATTTTCTTTTTATTTCATGAAACTTCTATGTTCTTATGAATATATAATTATATATTTATGATATAATTTTTCTTTGGGCAGCTATAGGGGCCCTATAGTCAGAGAATACAAAAAGGTATCCCCTTGAGAATTAGGATTAAATTAATTTTCATAAGATTTTTCATTTGTTATAACTTATAATTTTGTTGTCGTATATCTGAAGACGATAAAATGGCAGCTGCAGCTGTTGCATCTAATGTTGAGGAAAATCTACGCATATTAGCACAAACAAAGCGAATTCGTGTTAATGAGTTCTTCCAGGACTATGATAAACTGAGGTCTGGATTTGTCACAGGTTTGGTTCATCTTCTTGAAAATAAATTTAATAATTTTTCATTTTAAAAGGCCAGCAAACAAAGTCTGTAAAAATTAACTTAAACTTAAGTGTTATTAATCTTTTACATTTTTATTATTTAATATACAATCATTTTTAAATAATAGTTTACTGATGTATTTCAATTTCAAAAGATGATACACTTTTTATTTCAGCTCCCCAGTTTTTTCGTTGCTTGTGGCAAACTCTTTCAGTGAAACTAAGTGAGGAAGAAGAGAGGGCCCTTTGTATGAAATATGGATTAATGCAAGATGGAAAGATCAATTACAAAAAATTCTGTCAAGCTATTGAGCTTAGTTTTGATCCAAGCAATATCTATCAATCACCAGATGTTCAGGAAAGAGTACCCTTGGAATAGTAAGTGTGTTACACAAATAATCTGATTTGTATGCATGTAATACAATTTTAAAGCAAGTTTAATTGTCCTTCATTATAAAATAATAATTAGAAATAATTATTAAATTCTGTATCCAACAGGCAATGTAAAAATAAAAGTGAAAAAAATTGTTTTAGGAAAAAATAGCTGGTAATATGAATTTCTAGGCTCATGTGTATTGTTTGAGAGAAAATTAGTATCTTATATTTAAATGTTATATTACCAGAAATATCCTATTAAATTTAAATATTTAATACATTGTGATTCAGATTAATAAGTTATTGTAATTGTTGTAATTAGTAGAAATTTTATATTGTCATTATGTGTATGCTCTAATTTTAAGTTATACTTGAAGTTCCTTTTTTGAAAACCATTTAAAAAATAGATGTCAGCTTACTATATTGCTATTTTCACTAAAAAAAACCACAACTTTTCAGTCTTGGCACTTTACGATCAAAACGACCAATGACTGTTGATGCAGAGGCTAGGCTGGTAGAAATTTTAAGACGAATGCAACAGCACTACAATGTCAGGGGCATTAATTTGCGCACCCAGTATGAGGATTTTGACAAACATCATAAAGGTGTAATCACAGAAAGTCAGGTATAATTTTACACCTATACATGAATCCTTACATAATATTTGTGGGCCATATCTTTTTTACAGTTTGTTCAGCCTAACAGAACATGCATTTCTAGAAGGCATGTCTGTTTTGAAAATTAAGCATTCATTTTATATTAAACATTTGACAAAAAATATTTTTATTATATAATTTGAAGTAAACTAACTGACATTTGTAAGCTTTTTACATAAAAAGAATAAATGTCTCTTTTGTCAACTAATAAAAGATCAAATGGATTATCTTTCACCCTCACACAAAAATAAATTTGATGGATTTAGAAATCGAAGTGTGTTATTAGAGTAGATCAGTGGTTTTTTACTATCGCCCCCTTGGCACCATAAACTTATCCCTAGTGTCCTACTGTCAAAATTAATTTATTCAGGACAGTAGTTACTGCTAATCTGTGAGGAAGATAGCAACACAATAAAATTATTAGTGTTAAATGTATTAGAAGTTTTATTTCAAATATTATTATTATTTACTTTAATCCAAAAATAACACAGCTTTTGAAAATAGGATTGTGATTAAGTTCAGAGCAGTATGTCACCAGACAGAGGATGTTATTGCCTGAGCAGGTTTCCACCACAATAGGGTGCCACCAGACAATCAGGTTATCACCTCAACAGGTTGTCACAAGAAATTGGGTCTTAAGAGAAAGAGCAGGGTACCATCAGAGTAGATTGCAAACAGGGGGTCACCAGAACAGGCACTCTCAGGGAGGGCCATGGGGTAGTCTGAAAAGGAGGAAGATGGCATCATGGGTTTGCAGCACTGAGTAATACAAGCTGTAATGATGCAACATATTGTAACATTAACTTCCCTTTTCTCTTTTAGGTCTGATGGGCCAATATTGCCAATGAACATAGTTAATTTAGACATTCATTCACTTTTAATAACATTAAAACAAATGTAAATTAATTTCATTGAGATCTGCATATATTTATGGGAATAAATAAGTCATTTCTGATGGTTTTTGTGTCATCACTGAGAGATGAATTTTAAATAAATTCAACAGTGTTAAATAGCTTCTAAAAGTTACTTATACACACACACTGGGTGAAATTCAATACAATTTCATTTTTTATTCACCAGAAGTTGGCATAAATAAAACTATAAAAAGTAATGATATTAGATACTATTTAAAGTATGAATAAAACCATGGTGACAACCCTTCCTTGATGGTGAACTTTTCTGTAATTTATAAGTAGTCTAACTTATGCAAAGTGGCACTACTCTCCCTTAAAAAAATTATGTTTTTTTTTACTTCTGAACAAGAATTTTTAAAAATTCATGAAAATGACATTAAATTAAATAATACTAGCTTGTTTCCTGAATTAACCCACTGCTGCCCCTAGCAACCCCCTTAAAATGAATGACCACTTTACCATCCCTGGGACATCTCACCACCCTGGGGGCTGGCATGCCTACTTTGAGCACCACTGGTGTAGATTCATGAACAAGTTTTAAAGATATTTAATGGATCCCATTCATTTAAGCTAGCATTTACTCACATATGATATGAGTCTAACTAGGTTATGTTTTAATTTTTTTGCATGTAGGAAATGTTATTGTAAACTAATTTAGTCAGTGAACTTAAGATGAGAACAATGAAATTCCCAATAGAATATTGCTTAATTTTATGACGTATATACATTTCAAACTGTATCAATAGTTTTGCACTATATTTATAATAAGTTTAAAAAAATGAAACTCTAGAATCATTATTTAAAAAATCAGTTACTTTCATTTTTGGTTGGGGTGGGGTGGGGGGGGGGTGTTGATGATTGAATTAGTTTAAATGATGGCTTATAAAATGTGTGATTTTTTAAAATCTCAGGCAATTGAAAAGAAGAAGCCTGTATGTCATCAAAGTAATTCAGGCTTTGAAATTAAGAGAATATAAACTAATTTAAATAGCTTTTACATTTATTACAAATAGATAGCAACAAAACAAAAAATATGTAAAATACACAAAAACAAATTCTTTACAAATTTTAACATAATTTGGAAAAATTGAGCATTATTCATATTAATGCATGAAGTAGAATGTCCTTATGCAGCTCTTTAAGACATTTTTTTACTCAATTTGTCATTTTAGTTTTATCGCAGTTTTCCTGGTCCAATTGATGTGAGTGAGGAAGACATGAAGACTTTAGTGGAGAAATATAATGATCCTAATACACCAGGTTTAGTGAACTACCTTAACCTTCACCATGATGTTCAGGCAGTGCACAAATATGTCCAACAGGAGAATGTTCCTAAACATCCAGCTAATGAGAGAAATGTTGACTTTGTGCCACTATTTGTAAGAACATTAACCTATTAGTTATGATCTAAATTTAAACTATGATTATATTTAATTTAATTTACTGTGGTCTAATTGGATTAAATTATTATGAAGGTGTTGTGACCTTTTCTTTTAAGGAAGTTCTAAGTGTCGAATGTTATAATTGTCTTTCTTATTTCTAGCACCGTTGTCTAACTTCACTACAACACAGCCATGTTTGGTCCACACTCAAGAGCAATAACAATATTCAATGAAAGTAGTTATAACAGTTCTTAATTTACAGGATCCTGATGCCAGTTCGCAAAACATTCTCCATTAACTCCTCACTACAATGACTACTTATACCAAGAATACTCTCATATCACTGACTAACCTGCACCTTCTCTCACTACAATGATAACTCTACATAGTTAACAACAAGAACTTCTTCTTCTATATATTAAGTAAGGGCACACAATCAATTTATTGATAATTTTGATTCCTATGCATGTAGAGGGGATTTGCAATGTTTCTGTGCCTGGTGTTGATGAGGATAATTCACTGGTTGCAAGGGCTACATTGGGAGGGTATCATGCTCTGGGGGTTGGGAGGCCTGAGGTAATAGATGCAAATGTGTCAAGTGTTGTGGCCTCAACTGTTCCTTTTGAAAGCGTGTTCCAGTCCCTCATTGTCTTAGGCAGGAATGAGCAGTTCCTATACTGGCTTCTTGCTGGTATGAGCCAGAACTGCCTGTCATGGCCTCGTCGCTGTTTATGGGGGAGAGGGACGAGTTTCTGTTTAATGCTGGAGCAGTGGACCAGCCCATTCTTTATCTTGTACATTATGGTGAGCCTGGATAGTTTTCATTGTTCCTCCAATGGTGACTAGCCTTGTGTTTCCAGCATGCTGCTTACACTAGAGGTATTCCTGTAGCGGTTCAGGAAAAAGCATGCTGCCCATCACTGGACAGCCTCCAATCTGTCGATGCTCTTCTGGATAAATGGGTCCCCGACTGAAGATGCATAATCTAAAAATGGATGGACAAAGGCTTTATCTTTCTTTCACACTGGAGTTGCCCATCTTTAGATTACGCCTTAAGAACCCCAGGATCTTGTTTGCCTGGTTACACACATTGTTTATATGCTTATCCCAGGGGACCTCTGTTTGATTGGTAAAACCCAGGTACTTTACGGAGGAAACTGGCTCAAGTATATGGCCATGCAGTTCGTATTGGTAGTGTAGAGTAGTACAACTTCCAGAGACTGACTAGCAGTGTCTGGCACTTGGCAAGATGAAATTCCATGTCCCAGCTCATCTCCCACTCAGCTAACCGATTGAGATCCTGATATAGCTGGTCCTGGTCAGATCTGTTGGCGATTGTCCTGTACACTGCGGTGTCATCTGCAAACAGTCTTGCTTGGAATATCAGTTTCTAGGGAAGGTCATTAAAGTATGCTAGGAACAAACAGGGACCTAGCACTGATCCCTGGGGGACCCCTGACTTAGCACCGACAAAGGAGGAGCGTGTACCGTCCACCACTACTGCCTGGCATCGGTTGCTGAGGAAGCTAGATATCCATGTTTTAGTAGAACTCCACAAACTAACTCCACGAAATGACCTTGTGTCACCCAACCAATCACAACTTGCCCCCACAAAACCTCTCACTATCTCATGATCAGCAACTTTCAGAAACAAACAATCAGGTTCCCAAATTGAGTTCATAACAGAAGGAACTGTTTTGTAAAAGTTTTTAAACAGTTCCTTCTGTTAGATAGAGTGCTTGAAATATTTATCTTGTAAAAGTTTTTAGATACATATTTCAAGCACTCTATCAACTCATGTTTAACAATTTAAAATTGCCTTTCATTCTTCATTCCCATTATTAATTCACAGAGCAAAGAGAAATAGATAGTTTAAAAATTTGTAGAGCTATTAAATTATTCATTTCCATATGTCAAAACTACCTAATTATAATTTTGGCTATAATTATACTTTTCCAATTAAAATTTGCAATGTACAATTAAGAAAACCAAAATGACACACATATTTACCATTTTAGCCATCATCAGATCCAACACTAGCAGAAATACTAGACAAAGTCAGAGTGGCTGTTTTTAAAAATGGAATCCGCACCATTGAATTTTTTAAAGACCATGATAAACTTCGAAGTGGTGTTATAACAGAAAACCAATTTGTTTGTGGTCTTGCCCTGGCTTGTGGCAAAGAAGCACAACTATCTCGGCAAGAGATTCAGAAAGTGGTGGAGTACTATCGTCTGCCAGATGGAAGGATTTTGTACAAGCAATTTAGTGAGGCCATGGAAAATGGTAAGGAAAGATCCCTTTTTTAATGTTAATATTGATAATCTTTAACCTCAGTAATTTTGTAATTGAATTTTGAGATGACTTTCTACATTTTTTGTCACAGCATTCAACATTCCTAATCTTGAGAAAAAACCCACAGAAACTATAGAAAGGCCTGCAAGAGGAACTTTGTTCAGAGTGAGTAAAATTTTATTTGCATATAAATACTCTATTCTCAGGTCTCCTCAATATCATGACCATCTAAAATCAGAGATTTTTAATGAATTGTATTCAAAATTCTATCATTGGCTCTGCGTAATTGATACTTGACAATTAAAGACATGCGACTTAGCATTTGAAAACTGAATTAATATATCTACCTAGTGAACAAAAGACCCCAGCCCCACATCCAAAACACTTAACTTTAGTTTTGATCTAACTGCAAAAATCAAGAAACTGACATCGTCAATTTTAAAACAATTTATTTGAAATTTTGAAAAAAGAATTGTGAAACTGAAATGTTGTCCTTTGGAATTTTTTGTCAATAAAAATGTCACTGTGTAAATTGTTTATAATATAATGTTTAACAGAGCACAATTTATCTTTAAAGGGTCTCAAACCCCTAATTGAAGAGGATGAGTTGAAAATTATGGACATACTAAACACCATTGCTGACAAGGTCACAAAGGAGAGGATCATGCTTTACCAGTATTTTAAAGACTTTGACCGGGTATAATTCAAATTGTATCTTTTTCTTTTATATATAAAAAAAAGATATGTAATTACTAAATATTTAATGAGAATCAAAAGTTAATCATCCTTCTATCAATTGAAATGTTTTATTCGTTAAGGTGAACTGCTGAGAGCTTTAAACATTTTACTTGTTTATTTTTTAAATTGTCCATTTGTAAAGGAAATTCCATATGTAAATAAAAAAAATACAAACTTAATACAGCTGAAGGACTGATATGTTACTAACAGGTTTATATTATGTAACTCTCATAAGCATCCTAACTCGATCATCTTCAATAAGAAATAATATATTTACCAAAGCAAAACAGGCTGTGTTGTTTGTGTTAAAATTGAATATTTTGTTTTTTTACTTATACATGATCAGTTGTATTAATTTATTGAGTAAAATATTTGACTTTACTGTTGTTTTAGTCGACAGCATACACAAGAGTGGTTACCCCTTCTCAGTTTGCAAGAATTTTGCACTTCGTTGGCCTAGATTTGAATCCAGTAGATCTTAATCTCATACTGAACAAATTCCAGGACCCAACCAGTGGGGATGTGAACTACCCTGCATTTGTTCAAGCTGTTGACAAGCGTAAGCCAAATTTCTCCAATACCTAGTACTAGCCTGACCAACAAACATAAAGTGGAATAAAAAAAAAAAATAACATTAACTTGAAGGTTTATTTATGACTCTTTCTTAATAGAATTTTTCTAAAGCTTATATATCAATCAAGTGAATAAATACAAATAATGCTCTTGCAAAATGTATTATAAAATTAAATGAAAGCTTTGATTCTTTTATTGTGTAGAATTTGTAGCCACTACCATTGAGGAAGTTGAACCACCCAATATTGGGCCAGACAGGACTGTTCCTCCAGCTCTCCAAGAAAAAAAGTGGATTGAGAGTCCACCAGTCACTTTCAAAGAGCTCATGGCAAGAATTCGCCACATTGCACTGACCTATAGGCTACGTGTATGTATTGAAATGAGATTGATGTTAATACATTAGCCTAGCAGCATTGAAAGCAATACTTTTTTTTTTAAATTCTGAATTTTAAATTTTATTTCTTTGAAAGTACTTCTGGAAGTATTTTTGTTAAAATTTTAAATATTCTTAGAGTATAAACAAGGCATAATTTGTTAGGTTATACAATAAAAGCTGCATTAACAATTTTCAAAGTATTTTTCTTTACAGAATAATATATTTATTTTTCTGTTGTTTTGAATTGTTTTAGCTGTAGAAGATCAGGTGGTTATCTTTTTGAAGTAAAGCTTTTAAACCACCCTTGTTATCTTCAGGCAAATGAATATTTTCAAGACTATGATCCATTACGAACGGGTTCCATCACTATTCCTCAATTCAGACGGGGACTAGCATCTATGGGTTTCAGCAAGTTAGGTCAACATGACCTGAATGATAATCAGTTTGAAATGCTTGCTGAGCATTATGCCAACCCAGCAAAACCAGATCAAGTGATCTGGACAAACTTTATGTCCGATGTCGAAAGTGGTTAGTACAATATGCTTGAATGAGGAAACATGGATGTGCTTCCAGAATGTTAGCCTTAAACCTTCTAGGCATAGAAAATAAGATAATAAATAGTGATATTTAGCTTCTATTGCCGATGATTACATTTAAGATTTATTTTTTATCAAGTTTTCACACAAGCAGGCTTGGAGTTAACTCCATCAGCCACTGTACCTCGCCAGGAATATTTCCGTGTTCCTAAACCTGGAACTATTGACTGGGAGAATGCCACAAAGGATCACATTGACATTTTTAATGCAACTATGGACCGTATCAGGAAGAGGGTGGAACACAGAAGAGTTTTATGTGAACCAGTATTTCGGGATTTTGACAGGTGAAATTATAAGAGATCTAATGAAATGAATATTGGTTTAGAGAGAAAGCTCCAAACTTTTTTGTAAGAACCCTTCAAGAATTCAGTAATTTAAGGATTAAATATTGTGTCAATCATTTCAAATAAGTAATGGGGCCAAAGAAGCTGAAAATTAGGTCTTATATAATGTATTTCCAAGCAGAATGTTTTGCATATTTTGATTGCAATTAATTAATTTTATATTATATCTTTTCCAAATTACACATTGCAAAAAAGAATGAAAAGAAAAAGAAAGCTTTATTAATTGCAGACATAATATTGGGCACATCAGCCGCACACAATTCCGACAGTGTTTGACTATGCTGGAAATCCCGTTAGAGGAGTCTGAAATGCAGTCTCTTGAAGCTTTGTACAGCAATGATTATGGTGTGGACTACAGAAAGTTTTTAAAAGACCTGCTGCCCTGTGAACCTGTTCCATTCATGTACATCAAACGCATGGAAGAGATCAGACTTGCGAATGCCAGAAAAGCTTTGCCTGAGCAGCGGGCTGTCACAGACCTGGAGAGTGTTTTCCTAAAGATCAAAACAAAAGTAATAACATATAATGATACATTTAGGTTTTAAATTTTTTTTTAGCCAAATAAAAATTAAATTGACTTTTATTATCACTCTCTAACCTAAACAACACAAGACGAAAGCACAAGACTTCCAACATGGTTTGAAGAAAAGCCAACAAAATATCAATTGTTTCCAAATCAGCCAAGAAATATCTTCTTTTTTTTTTTTTGGTTCTCAATCGATAACAAGGTGTTAAAATTCTATATGAATATCATAATTTAATTGTTGCTTACTTATCTATTTGAAAAGACCCCTGACATATTCCCAAATAGATTTTAAATTTATTTAATACCTGTATACATTGTTTTATTAAAAAGAGGATTGAATGATATTTAAAATAGTTTTATTTGCATTGAATTCCATTACAGCTACATAACATTAATTTTTATAATTGACAGGTTTGTAAGCAGAGGGTCCGTGTTCATGAGTTTATGAAAGACTATGACAAGCTGCATTCTGGTCGCATGCTCAAGACTTCATTCAGAAGAGCCCTAAATTTGGCAAGATTAGATCTACTGGAGTCTGAAATTGCAATGTTGGAAGACAAGTTAGTTATTTTTGTCTCATTCATATTCCATTATCATTAAAAATTAAAACAGATTTTCTTTACAATTTTTAGTTCAAAGAAAGAAGCTATTTTAGTTCTTATAACTTTCTATGTTAATTTATGTCTATGGATTATTTATTCATTTATTGTGATAAAGAAAATGTACAGGGTTAGTCATAATTATATAAAGCTTTTAATAACAAATGTGAAACACAATCATTCCATTTAAGTCAAAATACTGAAGAAAAACCCCCCCACTAAAATATAAAAAGGGGACTTTTACAGTATACTTTGTATATTTATTTGTGCGGAACCTTAATCAATCAATAAAATGTATAGTTTTCAATTCACATACATAATATGAAATATTTCTTGACTGCACTCCAACATTTATCAACCTAAATTTATCTAAATCAGCACCATTAGAGATTTTATTCCCATGGAAAGAGTTATAAACATTCCGGATTTTCATTTCAATTGCTATTTGGCTTCCAATTTATTAATATCATAAAAAGCTGCCAAGTTGACCCTGCAACCACTAAATATTTATGGGGCCCAAAGTCGTGATGTGGAAAAAATTAATCATATTCACGGGGCCCAAGTTGAAATGTGGAAAAAAATTAAACATATTTATGGGGCCCAAAGTTGTGATGGGGATAAAAATAAACTATCAACTTTGAATACAGGTGGCCAAAAGTCAGGAAGGCCTCCGAAGTCATGCAATGGTTCTGATATCATGTCACTTAGTTATAAAATCAAATGACACATTAAGGTTCTAATTCTTTTAAATTAAATTTCTTCTTGCATGTTTTTTTTCTTTTTAAAGTTAATTTTGAAGACACTTAATTTAAGGAAATCAACATCCCCAACTTGATGTACATGTTTGATGATATGTTTTGATTGTGGAAATAATAATTTGAAATAATAACTGGTTGTAACATTTTATTATTATCATATTTATAAGAGATTTTTAAAAAGTTTCTTGATTTACTCCAGAAAGGATTCAAATATTTTAATATTTTTCTTGTTTTAATTTGGTTCTCACCCAATACATACAATAATTGCAGGTATCAATCAGGGCAGGATGTTGACTATGTAGACTATCTTAGATTCTGTCAGGAAATTGAATCAATTTTCACAAAAGATAACCTTGAGAAAACTCCATTGGAAGAAGTTGAACAGTTTAAGCCAGATGAGGAGTGGAAAGTAGGTGAATTAACAGAGCAAGAAGGAGAGATAACTTCTAAATGTTTGCTGCGCCTTGCTGAGAAGGTGAGATCTTAAATTTAAGTAATAACATAAATAATGGTTTCTTAAGGGCCAGCAATAAGTTAATATCTTTCACCAAGGGATGCTGGCAGAGAAGTGTTTATTAATGGCATATTACATGCTCTGTAAATTATGCTGGAACTTTTAAGGTATTGGTGCACACGTATAGACATGATGAAAGTTGATTAATAAAGTTAGTGGGAGCTGCAGGTGTGCTTAGCATTTACAACTTTGGTGTTGTTGCTGTTTCAAACAAAATGAGGATGAAAAAGAAGAAATTTTGTTTAAGGAACAAAATTATTTCATCATTTGGACCAACTTTCCTTTGTATGACATATTATTTAGAGCAGGCCTGCACAACTCAAAATGTAGAGCGGGCCTTAATACATTATGAAAAACTTATGCGGGCCAAAAGAAATTAGAATAGGACTTGTGCGGGAAGCTATTAAGGAAATAATATAAAGAGCTTTTTGTTACCTCATGGGCCACAAAGTGGGTGCTGGAGGGCCACATGCGGCCCGCTGGCCGTATGTTGTGCAGGCCTGATTTAGAGCATCTGTCATTATTTGATTCAAATTTTTTTAATTTGGTACCACCATCCTTGTTCATGCCAACTGTCATTGTTAGGTGCCCACTGTCATTTCGTGGTGCCATTAATCATTATTTGGTCCCAAAAATCATTATTTGGTAGCACCTGTCAATGTTTGGAACAAAATTTCATTTCTTAGTGCCACTAAACATTATTTGGTACAATCTGTCATTACTTGCTACCGTCTGTCATTTTTTAGTGATAATTGTTATTTTTTAATGCCTCCTCTCATTATTTCATTACAATGTCATTATTTCATGCATCCTGTCAATACTTTGTCACACCTGACATTTTTTTCATTTAACATGTCAATTCTTGGGGCCATTTGTAATCATTTGAAGTAACCTGTTGTTATTTTCTTGATTTCTCACTTCAGATGAAATATTTTTTTGGAGCTTGGTCACATATCAACATATTAGCTACATATTTTACAAACATCTCTATAGAAATTTGTTCATTTTTGTCTTTGAATCAGGTGTATAAAAACCGCATGCAACTCTATCCCCTATTCGAAGACTATGATCGAGTCCACAATGGCGCAGTCTCCCAATCACAATTTCGACGAGTACTGATGGAATTAGAACTTGCACCTCTTGCTAATGATACAGACATACAACTGATATGCAAGAAATATCAAGTCCAGATTGGTGGACGTGCTGATGTAAACTACATTGCCTTCTGTCAAACTGTCTATCAACTTGCAGGATTTGATATTAACAAACCTTGAGAGAATGAATCTTAAATTATTTTTCAAATGATTTAATGAAACTGGAATATTTTGGAGCTGTGTAAGCTTTTTTGAGAATGCAATTAACTTTAATATTAATTAAGACTCTTACTTTATATAAATTTAATTAGAAGAATTATTTTTTAACTGTTCCTTTTTCCTTCTGAAAAGATATTGATAAGGCATTGAAAAAATACCTGGATCCCAAACATTTATAAGAAAAATTAATTATTTGCTGCAGTAATCTTTTAATCACAGAATGTCTACTTTACTTATTTTAATCATATTTTGAGAAACATAAATTATAAAAAAAATACAATCATTTTGTTTCTTTCTCTTTTAAATTACTAAAAAGGTAAGCTTTTTTAAAAATCTTCACATTCATTAATCTTACAATAATTTGTTTGCCAGCTGAATTTATACATTAAAAAAACCAACAGAAATATTATCTTAAAAATTTCAACAGAAATATTATCTTAAAATCTGGCTGTGTAACTTTAAAAAAATGCAGAAAGGTTATTTCATGTTTTAATGAGACGTCTTCAATGCTGGCCACTTTTATATAACAACAGAATACGTTATGTAACAATGTGAAAGCTTTAATGCATTTCACAAGAGCTAAATCATAGGCCTATAATTGTGTGATATTTGCTTAGCAAATTTTTGTTTTGAGATGCTTATTTTAACACAAGTTTTGATTTGGGTGTTACAGTGGTAAGTATTTTTATATCCGATGTTTTTCCAAAGTGAAAATTACATTTGTATTTGCTGTATATATTTTTTTCTAAAGATGCAATAAGTTTTTGAAATATTCACTGCTAAGATATTTCGAAAATAGATGAAGATTTAAAAATTTAGAAAGTGAACTGGAGTAAGGTGAAGTAATATCAGTGACATGACTGCAGCCAATCAACGCTGAAAAATGTAAATGTACAGTAGACTTAATTTTTATATTTTTCAGAAATTATTATAGAAATTAGACATTGATGATGAATTTCAATATTATTCACACACACACAAATAAGCTTTTTAAAAATATGTTATCTTCATATGCTTTAAATATATTTTGATGAAAGTTATAATTCAGATATCAAAAACAAACATAATAGTGTCGTTCTATCCTTGATGCCGAAATAAATGACATGTTTGTTTAAAGGGTCTTATTGTGGTGAACTAATAATTTTTTTACATGTTTTTTATTAAAATATTTGGCTTTTAAAATGAAAAACAAAAAAGTGAAATAACTTTTTTCTTTTTAAATAATTTTTTTTTATCAGTGTTTAATATTTATTAAATTGTTTTATGTTCAGATTTCTCAAATTAAATTAGTTTTTGACAAGGCTGAGACATTTGGAAAGTAATCCATAGATTATGTTACAAGATTACTTTTTATTTTTGCAAGTATTATTTGTGTGTCATTCCTACTGGGGTCATATACTGTTGAAACAGATTTGTTTCCCCTGCTACTTGAGATCATTCTAGTGGTACTGATCGAATTATTTTATGTATGTACATAAGCATTAACATTTTCTTCTGGTGAATATTTAATTTAGATCAGGTCAGCATTATTTGGCTTCATATTTTTACTATGACTGAAATAGGCCTACATGATAATAAATGATATTTAATATTTGAGTCATGCATAGCAATTATAGTATTATAATTCAAGTTTTATCCTCAACCCACTCCCCTCCTCTACATATTGTGATAATGTACATATACGGCTTATACGCCTCTAGCTCTAATACTTTTTGTTGAGATTTTTTGGTAAATAAATAGTCTTAAATCTACTATGAAAATTGATATGCATAAAATATTTTACACAAAATAAAGTATGTTTAACTATCTTAATCTGTGTTCTGTTGTTCTCCAATTTAAGCGGCAATCTATATATATTGCTAATGAAGAGTCTTCATAGAGAGTCTAGTTTATAAGTTATTAGAATAAGAAAAGTGTGTGCAGCAACTGAAAAATTGATAAATGATGTTCTTTATTTTTAAAAAAAGTAGAAAAAAAAAACTATGTCTGAGTTTAATTTACACATAGATACATCACATACAAGGCTTTGAGCATTTAGGTTCTGCTATTCCCATGTCGTGTTAATGGAGATGTTTTTAAATTTCTTTACTCATTTAGAATACTAAGAAATATTTGGAGATCAGATAAACTGAGCATAGACAAAAGGACCAGAGCCTCGTTTGGAGTTAGGCTCTGTCACTAGTGTTCTTCTCTTTGGATCAAATTGATACAGAGACAACAAGCACATCGCCATTTATAATAAAACTGGGACATTTCGGTAGTTGTAACAGTTTACGTGTTTTAGCTTACTTTATTTATAGATGGTGATTATCTGTTTTTGAGTGTGTGTGTGTGCCTCCTGCGCCTCTTTGTGTGTCTGAGTGAGAAAGAGAGAGAGAGTGTCGCAAGCGCCCCCCCCCCACTCCCTCCCTAAGTACGCCATGGGGATGCACAACTTTGAATGTCTAGGTTGCCTTTACATGTCTTAATCCGGCACTACAGTGGCGCAAGGGGCTCCATGTGCCATGATAGCAATGATAGCCCATTGAGTTTGACGCCGAGGCGTAAAAGGGCTCAATGGCCCATGATAGCAATGATAGCCCATTGAGTTTGACGTCGAGGCGTAAAAGGGCTCAATGGCCCATGATAGGAATGATAGCCCATGGAGTTTGACGTCGCGGCGTAAAGGGGCTCAATGGCCCATGATAGCAATGATAGCCCATGGAGTTTGACGTCGAGGCGTAAAGGGGCTCCATGTGCCATGATAGCAATGATAGCCCATTGAGTTTGACGTCGAGGCGTAAAGGGGCTCAATGGCCCATGAAAGCGCTAAAATGACATGCTATTAAAACTATTATTGACACGCTAACATTGCAACTGCGGGGGGGGGGGGAGGCTGCTGACATAAAAGCAGTGTGGAGTAACTATAGATCTTGTGACGTCCGTGGTGACCCTTGACAACGCCGTCCTTAGGTAAACTTTCGCCCACTAAAATGACATGCTATTAAAACTATTATTGACACGCTAACATTGCAACTGCGGGGGGGGGGAGGCTGCTGACATAAAAGCAGTGTGGAGTAACTATAGATCTTGTGACGTCCGTGGTGACCCTTGACAACGCCGTCCTTAGGTAAACTTTCGCCCTGTGCGAAGCACCCGTTTGGCGCCCCCTTCCCTGTCCCTTTAAGGCTCCGCACTTTTTCCGATTACTACATCTAACCAAAGCTTAAAATGTCAATCATGGAAAATTGGCCTAGGGGTCAGGGTGTCACAACATCTCGCGAACTGCTTCTCTCACCGCCATTATAACAGGCTTAGATATAGGGAATCACAATGTGTGCTTTTTTTTTGTTGTATAAGTTCAATCATTTATTTCTCGGCAACCTTTGGGTATTATGCTGTAAATTATATCTTGCCGGTAAAGGAATCTATTATCTATATCTTAGTACATCTGCAAGTCTACATAAAATATGGGATATTGTAATTTTAAGCAATCAAGAATGTTTTCACATGCCTCCATGGTGGGGTCCCAGCCCCTTCTATTGAAAATATCTCTAAGACCATAAAATCTAGATCAGTATAAAAGTGTACCTTAGGTAGCCGAGACTAAACGTGAACAAACAAATATAAGTATTCGGGGGTTTCTGGTCCGGGATTTTGTTCGGGTTCGAGGCTCTAAGGATTGTCACTTTTACCAAAACTTCCCGCTTGGAGTCTGCGAGAATACGTTATGGCTTGGTGTGCCACTGGCGTAATTGATAATTGCTTTCTGCATGGTATGTCTGAGTGGCCCTATTTATAAGGAGCACGCAGCCGGTTAACCATTCAGTTTTAATCGCAGTCCTATATATAAGTGCGCCATTGTTCACCAGCCCCATTAGGCCGGACACCTTTAAGTAGAAGGCAAACGCGCCTTTATATTTTTTGTGTTTGTAGTATGCAATTGTTGAGTGTTAGTAACTGAGGTTTTCTGTTTATCACTCGTAAAAGGCAATATTTCATCACTTGTAATAGGCAATGTATTATAATCACCTGTTAACTCCATCAATTTGACTCATAACCATTATACTGTGATAGTTGAGCATACAGCCATGCGCCGAATTTCACATAGAATTAGATACAATTGTGCACGTGAGTTTAATACTAACCGTTATATGGTTCAGGCTACACATACTGCAATGTACATTTATAAGCGATTGATGCAACAAATATCCAGACATCGAATCCACTTAAAACATTTGTAGTAACTATCCTACCATGAGCTCAATTCTCATAGGAAATATAATACATGCGCCAGGAGAATATTAACAGCTGTATTAATATAAATAGTCATTATGTAATACGTTTTTGTCTTAAAAAGACACAGCGATTGATTGATGCAAGTATCAAACAAATTGTTGTTATACCTTATAACACTGTAGTAACTGGCCTGCTATGGGTGCCTCTTACATAGACATGGGCGACAGCGCAATTATGGTAATGAATGTTAGCCCTCACATCTCACACCTGTATGTTGGCCCTCTCCATCTCACACCTGTATGTCAGCCCTCTCATCTCACACCTGTATGTCAGCCCTCTCCATCTCACACCTGTATGTTGGCTCTCTCCATCTCACACCTGTATGTCAGCCCTCACATCTCACACCTGTGTGTCAGCCCTCACATCTCACACATGTATGTTGGCCCTCTCCATCTCACACCTGTATGTTGGCCCTCACATCTCACACCTGTATGTTGGCCCTCACCATCTCACACCTGTATGTCAGCCCTCACCATCTCACACCTGTGTGTCAGCCCTCACATCTCACACCTGTATGTTGGCCCTCTCCAACTCACAACTGTATGTTAGCCCTCACATCTCACACCTGTATGTTAGCCCTCTCCATCTCACACCTGTATGTTAGCCCTCATATCTCACACCTGTATGTCAGCCCTCACATCTCACACCTGTATGTTGGCCCTCTCCATCTCACACCTGTATGTCATCCCTCACATCTCACTCCTGTATATTGGCCCTGCATTCTCACACCTGTATGTTGGCCCTCTCCATCTCACATCTGTAATTTGGCCCTCTCCATCTCACACCCGTATGTTGGCCCTCTCCATCTCACACCTGTATGTTGGCCCTCAAGTCTCACACCTGTATGTTAGCCCTAAAGTCTCACATCTGTATGTTGACCCTCTCCATCTCACACCTGTATGTCAGCCCTCACATCTCACACCTGTATGTTGGCCCTCTCCATCTCACACCTGTATGTCAGCCCTCACGTCTCACACTGATTCTGAATGTACGACGCTGTGCGTGCTACGCGTTAAACTCCGCCACATGATTTTTTTTTACAATTTAACATTATCAAAAGAATAATTTCAATTGCCAATACAACATGGTACTATATCTTCATCATGCAGCTATATTGTTTGTTAAATAACCAACCCCCCAGCTCCGGATACCATCGCTGAGTTGCCCCTTGCAGCCAGTCAAGCGCCCTCTTCAAAACCTTGCACAGAAACACCGCACCCCCCCCCCCCCCCCATTTTTTTTTCTAGAACCGTAGGAGACAGAATGACCAACACATTGATCGTGGGCCCTCAGAAGAAATAAGAAGAAGAAAGAGAGGATGTTTGCTGTAAACTTTAATGGCGGAGTTTCCTCATCCGTTTGGTGTTGGTTACGTAATTCAACATACTATATGCAGGACCTTTATCAACCTGCGCCATCTTGTCTCTTTGTTGCTATGTTTAACAATGCCGTTTTTTGTGTTTTTTTAAGGCTGTGCTCACTAGGGCAGTTGCCCCTATAGGGGGATTCACGCTGCTAGGGGCATCAAGTTTCCCATATTGTTAATGATTCTTGAAAGACCTGTCGGGAATTTAATTTGCGTTCAAAGTGCAGCGGAAGGAGATCTCCTAGGTTTTTGCGAACACTATTTATATTTTCAAATCAGTTCTAGTTCGTTGGATTTAGATTTCGTTTTAGTGCTAAGAAAAATTCCTAAAATGTATTAAAGTAACTTAAATAGATTTTTTTACAGTGTAAATAACAAAATGATCGTCGTGAACTTTCAAAATTATTATTGTCCTTTTGTTTTCCACTCATTCCACGAAAAATAACTCTGCTTGAGTCTAATGGTACCCGGGTGCGAATGGCGGCGCTGCATGTCTGGGTCCATTTTGACTCAGTGCTATTCGGATGTCATTTGTGGTAGTTTATTTTAGTTAAACTGAAGATTTATGTTTACAAAAATATAGTCCATTCAATTATCTTTCATTTATACCTAATTGTATCTTACAAATCCAACAATAAAATTTTAAATAGTTTTTTAATCCCAACCTCTCACTTCTGGTACCCGGGTACGAATAGCCACTTCGTAAAAAAATGCTGGCCCCTCTCCTCAACCCAAGACCCGTGTTTTTATTAAAAATATTTATTTTAATTAAAGATTAAGCTAAAACTATTTCAAAAGATAACTTCATTATTATATCAGTAATTTTATTGAAAATAATAAATATTTTGAGATTTAAATTTAGCCTTAGTTATTACTAGTTTAATTTTTTTTTTAATGAATTGTTTAAACTAAAAAAATAAAGCTAGCGTCCGCAAGACTTTGAAGATTGTCGTGGCGACTCAATTGATTCCGTTGCATGTATTCTACTTGTACTTCCTTTTCCGTTTGTATCGCCAATAGTAATCATGGTAGGAAATAAATAGTTAATTTTTATCCTTAAAATCTTTATAGTCCTTTAAAAATATAAGAATGATATGCATTTAAACATCATAATTAAAGGTTATTTATCAAATTTTATATCAAATATTTTTAATTTAGTTCCTAGTTCGAAAGTGTATTAACCCTGTATCCCAGCTATCGAAAACAGTTTTTTTGGTTTATTTTCGACAGGAAAATGAGAATTTAGTAAATAAATATTTCAACAAAAAAAACATCGAACATGGATGTTAGACTACCAGTTTTTGATTTTTACTGTTAAGCAACTCGCGTCATCTTTGAATTTCAGTTATAATCATCCATAATTGAATCTTAATATACGCTTAAAAATAATATGACTTTCTTTTTCAAGACTAAGTAAGAGTGAAGTCTTTGATTACCATTAAATCGGTATATCACTATCACTAAATCATAACACTACATGACATATACTTAAACATAGTACATGCCTTTCAAAACTATATTACTGCTGTCTTTTATTATAAATTATTGCAAATCACACTACTACTACTCATCTCTATAGTCTATATGAAATATTTGGTGCTAGTAAAACTGGTACTTTCTTTGCTTTCATGCTTTTCCTTTCTTTGCTTTCAACTTTTAGTTTTGTAGTTACTTACTAGGTACTAGCTCACACAAATTTCAATACAAATGGTAAAAAGCGTTTTATATTTCATAGTAAATAACTTTGCAAAAATAAACTTATTTTTATTATTGAAAAAAATTATGCAACATCACTACATCAGTATCAGGTATCATATTTTTGTCCCCAAACAAAAGAACTATTTAATTTTATGAGATCAAAATGCATTTTGCGGCAGGGCTGGCAATGTCTTCCACAGTATAAAGCCTATAAATATAGGCCACAGAGATTCCTTCAGTTAACTACAGACCATATTTATGTTTTTCAAAAGAATTATAATTTTAGCTCTGTTTTTTTTTTCATTCGATAACATTTTGTCTTGAAAGTTGGGGGAGGGGTCTCCCTACCAAGAAAATTTCTTATTCAGTATTGAAAGTTGGAGGAGGGGGTCTCCAGAGAATAATGTTGAAATATCGCATTAAATATAAATGAATATCCAGTATCATACTGGTGGTCTGTTTTTTTCAACCAATCAATGCTTGTATTATAATAGGATATTTATGCAGCCTTTTTTTTTTTTTTGCCTTGCACATGTTTGGGTGAATTCCAGGGCTAATGGTCTGCATGAAACAGGGATTTTTATGGAGTGCTTCAATTTTTCTAGGGCTAGTAGGGCGCATGCTCTCTTCCAACTTTGCTTTGTAGGTGGGGGGCTTAAGATTATTTTTACAGTGGAGGGGGTTTTTTAGGTGAAGATTCCATTCCACAAAAAATATTGATGGCTAGGGTTAAAGCATAGCGGTTAATATGGGTGGGGGGAGGGTGATTGGAATTTGTAATGGATCAAGAGGAAACATTTTTAAGATGGGTTGAGGTTGTATTAGGCTCATTAGGGAGAGTAAAGGATTGTGGTAGGAAAGAGGTAGGATATGTTTGGTCGGGAGAGGTTAGGAGACATGGTATGGTTTGGGGAAAGGTGTGGGCTAGTTCAGAAAAACCTCCAACAGAGTTTCCCAAACATTTTTGAGTCACTGCAAAATAATGAACAAGGAAGATTTTTTAAAAATGTTTAGACTTAGTAAAACCAGATTCATTTTTGAAATAGCAAACAACAAGAAATACTTCAATAACCTATCTTGACTTCACCACAATATAACAAAAAAAAAGTTCTAATGCTAAACCAGCTATGACACCCCCAGCAAGTTGGCAGTGAAAATGACAAAAGAAAGGGCAATAACAAAGTGAGAAAAAAGCAAGGTGTATTGCTAACTTTATGGCATATTACCAAAAGTGCTTTCCCAGTACAAGCGGACAGAACCACATAATTTTAAAAATCTCATTGAACAATAAGTCCATGTCACATGCTAAAATGGTTATTTTTACATAATAATGTACTAAATAATCTAGAGAAACTACATAAACAACCCCAAATATAAATTACCAGTTATAGTAAATTGTTGATATATAGAATATAGTAATCATTTTTAAAGGCACCTGCAAACAGTTGATACAGAGTTCTGATTTTCTTCAAGCTTGCTAGATGTTGCATAATATTACATTTTTTAAACACTTTCGGCATCTCTGTGAGGAAGTTTCCCACAGTGCACAGTTTTGGAACAGCTGTTATAATTAAGGCCTTGCAATAATTAATGATTTTAGGTTCTATTGACTTAAAACTGTTACTTTAAGTAATTAAGTTGTCTATTATCTTGTTTTTGTACGGTATATTAAATCTTAACACTATAACCAAAAAAGTACCTTTTCTTAATCTACAGGCTGATATTGCCACTATTAGAACTCGAAAGTTCATGACGAACAGGCTGCTCTGCAGAAAACAGATGGTAAAGTAGCCTATTATTAATCATTATTTAAATTATTGCAAGGTGATTTATATAATTTAACCATAGTTAAAATAGGTGATCAGGAGAATAAGTTATGCTTTCACTGAAATTTCAGTGTATTTAAAGACCATCCATCTAGGTATGACACTGAAAAAGTATGCATTTTGTGGGTGGTGGCATTTCAGTCTTTTGTGTTGGCATTGAAACTTTGAAAGTGAATGGAAATTAAAAGTTGGAGCCTAATTTTAAAAAAAACATTATGTACCGGGTATTGAACATTATTGAAAAAAATATTTGCAGGTGGTTGATGTCCTACATCCAGGGCGTGCAACTCTTCCCAAGACAGAAGTAAGGGAGAAATTGGCAAAAATCTACAAAGTCACAGCAGATGTTGTCTTCTGCTTTGGTTTCCGTACACACTTTGGTGGTGGTAAAACAACTGGTTTTGCTTTGATCTATGATCATCTTGACAAGGCTAAAAAGTTTGAACCCAAATACAGACTAGCTAGGGTAAGTTTTTGTTTTTTTGTCCATTCATTATTAATCATTTTAAATTATTTTAAATTTGTGATGAGCTTGTTATTGAACAGCTTGTGAAAATTCTGAATGAGGTCAGTTTGCTTTTATCCTCCTTTGACTTTATCTTTTGGTCCTTGGAATGCTGGCTAGCATCACATTTGGAATACATGTGGGTTTGAGATAAAATTTGAACCAAACTCGGACCCTGCTAGTACTGAAATAAACCTATCGCAAACTTATGAGAACTGAAACATGTGATATAACTGTGGCACATTGCTGCTTATGCTAGAGATCTCTATATTTTAACTAACCCACGAACTGTGGTCGGCCGATATTTTCGAACGGCGGCTGAAAAAATCGCCTGATTAAAAAACACTGTCAGATCGAAATTTCCAATCCAGTATTTAACAGGAATTATATCCACTTCCTTTTATTAGATCATCTTTCTTGTCAAGCTGTTCGTTGATAACTTAGCAATTAGTACTTTTTAATCAGTTTTATATCGCTGTTTTTTTTTTAAAGCTAAAATGTATGAAGCTTTGGTCGGGCCTTAAGTACGAGAACTAATAGAAATATTTTTGGAAGAGTATTTAAGTGATACTGATGATGATTTTAACATTCCTCTCGACAATCTCAGTTCAGATTCTTCTTTTTGTGATTCTGATACTAGTCCTAATGATACTGAAGTAGGCCTGCTGTAAGACTTCGAGCCAGGCCCGGAGGTTGGGCAAGGTCTGACTGAATTTTAGTCACAGAAGCTACAGATTATAGATCAGAACTAATAAATTTTATAGTGAGACAACTCAAATCAGTTCCACGTTCCTTTTTAAATGTTTACTTGTCGATAACTTTTTACATTTCTAAACATATATACTTATTGGGGTCTTGTCTCAATATTTCTATGTCATTTAATGCTATTTCAAAAGCACTCGAAAAGCTCCCACAATACAGAATGATTTATGCCACAGTTCGTGGGTTAAAACTAGAAAAACCCTGTTGGAAAAAAATTATTTATAAACTATACCCACTCTCTTTTCTTTTATAATTATTCCGCCAACATGCTTTCAGGCATAGGCTTAATTTGTATTAATGCATGACAAATGAACACTATGTAGCTGACTTTTTTTTTTCTTCTGGTGTCCGCAATTTGTAGTTCTCTTCAGTAGTTACCGAACCCAAGCTTTAGTTGATACAGTACCCAACTTTCTAAAAGTTGAGTTCGTTCCCATCTCTAGTATGGTTATCACCTTTTTAGGGAAAAGTACCCACAGAACTTAAGTGAAATTCCTTTAGTGTAATTTTGTAGGTGCTCTCTTGGGCCTTTCATTGGATTAATCACTGTGTCAGGTTGTTTTGTTTTGTTTTTTTTTGCCTATTACAAAGATGTCCTCACAGTACCAGTAACAATTTTACTTTTTGTAAACTTGTTATTCTATTAGTTTAACGTTTTTAAATTTTTTGGTACATTCTATTTTATAGCACGGTCTTTTAGAGATTAAAAGAACAGGCCGCAAACAAAGGAAGGAGAGAAAGAACAGACAAAAGAAAGTCCGTGGCACAGCAAAGACGAAAGTTGGTGCAGCTAAAGATAAAAAGGTAACAATTAAATATAATTTCTTTTCCTGTGGTTTTTTGCTTAACAATTTAACTTCTTTTTTTTTTTTTTTTTTTTTTTTTTGCTGGCATCCGTCCGTCACAATGTGACGATGGAGTGGGCTTGGTAGGACGAAATCCACATAGCCTGGGATTATACTTGAAGGATTATAAGATGGTTCCCAACAGCAAATCGCCTCTCTCCACGCCACTGGGTAACCCAAGGGAACATCATTGGATGATACAGCTTGGCACCAGTGATGTCGCAGGAGTTGTCGGAAAGTTTCATTGTATCAATGTTATCCGCCTTTCGGGACTCCATCTCCGGGTTTGATTTCAGAGTTTCCTTCTCTTAGATGAGTTGCCGTCCAAGGTTAACGAGTCCCATCTACCCGGGGTGCTGGTGGTGTTTTTGCTCTAGCTGGAATTGAGATTTGCTCAGTTTAGACCACTCGGCCACCAAGCACCCGATTTCAACTTCTAAAAGTATATATTCCATCAACTTGACAAAAGCAAATTTGACAGGTTTTGATACTTTCTAAATACTTGGATAGTATTTTGTTCTTTTACTATATTTGCTATTTGAGGGGAAGTTTTCAGTTAAATTATTCATTTTGGATATACAATGGCAAAATCATTTAAGGAAAACATGTTTAGAATTGTGTGATGGTTCTTATTTTATTAACATGAATTTACTTTTTCTTTTTCAGTAATGGGGATGTTTATGTGACAAGACACATTTGCTATTTATTTCTTTTGGAAATAAATGTAGAAGTATATATACTGTTCTCTTTGTTGATTTATTTTTTATTGTGTGAATTGATTTGTTATAAAGCTATACTCATCTACTTAAACCTCTTATTCAACCCCTTGGAGGATTTAAATCTACTTTGTGTAATTTTTTCAAGTAAATGTTTACTGGTACCGTACCCGTTCAGTAACTTCAGACAATACCTTGTGGGGTGTGTGGAATGATATACACCTAAGCCTGAAACTAAATGTTTCTTAACCAGTTATGCTCTCACTCAGAAATGTTTATATTCTGAATTCCCAGCTAAAAAGAAATAACCCATACCACCAGTAGCTTTGGTTGGTTTTGGGGAAATTTTAATAAATTTATGGTACAATTGCAACTTAATTACATGAAATAAAGTTCAATGCATATAGAACATTTTATCATTTTGTGACATGAAATCAAAAAAATGTGTGGAAAAAATTAGGGATATGGAAGAAATGTATACGATAAGCTGTATAGAATTTTTGCGGCATATATTTATTTCTACAACTTGAAGATTATTGTGAAATTCTGCGCTGCCTGTGTCCTTTACATAAATGCACTTTGGGTATGAGGCATCCATTGGAAGTTTCCATAGAATACACTACTCAGCTGATGCATTGTGTTCCCAGTTGTGCTGATGCCAGTGGCTGCTGGGCTGTCGGTCGCAACATGGTGCAAGTCCATAAGCCAACATTTGCAAGAGGGTCTACATCCTTCAGCCCACATCAGTGGCACATGAGTGCTGGTATGTGTCCGCTGAAGTAAGTACTGGTAATGGTAAAATAATTCATCAGTCAATGATGATGCTTGTCGAGATAAGGCTCACTCATAGTAATAGTAAAGGCAATATGATGCCAGCACCTGTGTTAACAGTGAGCATCAGATTTATTAGTACCGGTATGGTACCGTACCGTACCATAGCACAGTACGATAGGCTTTACTTTTAACTTGAATTGAGCACAATCTCCCTTTCTTCAATGTTTCGGCCTATCACTTCACAATATGAGATCAAGTAGGGCAGGTTGTTAAATGTATAATTTCATCATGCTTTAAAAATATAATATAGTTATACATATAATTTACTGACTTTCATATGATTTGAATAAGGTCCTTTTATACAAACCAGTACCTTTTCTCTCTTTGCATCTGGTAAGAGTTGGGAAAGTAATATGCAGGAAAGGTAATTATTATACTATACGGTACTTGCTTTTAAAGTAATGGCCAGCTTTTTTTTTTTGTATAGTGATTTTTAAAAAATCATTTATTAATAATGTAGCTTAACGGAATAAATAGTTTAAATGAAAATTTAAAAAGAAATTACTATTTAGTAAAATCTTGAAAAATATGATTTGTATAGATAAAAGAAGATTAAATGACGCCTAAGTTCGTTTGCTCTCCGAATAATTGTAGCTTTGTAGAATGGTGCAAAACTAAATTCAGTAACGCGCAAAAATGCAGCCCTGCATTTTGAGTTTATAAATAAACTCTAGCTATATTTGCTATATGATGCCTCTTGTCAACATAATTAGGCATTAATTTTTACGATTCATAAAAATTAATAGCTTTAATTTGTCTTAAAAGATCTATAAACTTTTCTACAAATAAGACGTCACGCTACTTTTCGGGGGGCCCCCCCCCCTGCTACTTTTTGGTTTTGCCACCCCAACCCTTATACCGGGGGTACTCAAAGTTGATATTCTAACCCAGGGGTCGGGAACCCATGGCTCGAGAGCCAGATGTGGCTCTATTGATGGCTGCATCTGGCTCGCAGACAAATGTTCGATTATAAAAAAAGTCGTATTAATGGTATGAAATACTCATTATTGATTAGCAACAGCATAACAATATCATTAAAAAGAATTCAGAGACTTAATTATTGCATTTTTAGTGTTGAAATTACACAAAATGCACACATTTACTTGAATTTTTAGTTTTAAACATAATGTATGCCTCTCACAGAATTACTTTTAAAAATATGTGGTGTCCATGGCTCTCTCAGACAAAAAAAGGTTCCCGACCCCTGTTCTAACCCCTGGCCCGTGAAAGGGGGTACGGAGGGGGGGTCCACTCCAGGTGGCAATTGTTTCTACATAATGAGGCGCGGCATTTTCGGCCAAATGCTGAGTTTTTTCGTTGGGGGGGAGGCGGCCAAAAAAAATTTGTACAAATATTGGGCCACCCCAGGCGACACCAACCCTAGTTACGCCACTGATTAATTATAACAAAGTTTATACCAATCTCGTGTACCGGTATCAACCAAGATTAGGAATGAGTATGACACAGTTTTTTGGGCCCAGCTCTATGTCAACTCCGCTCCAGATAAATTTTTGGACATCTCCACCACCGCTTGGATCATAGAGCTAAAAATGATTATCTTTAAACACGAGGGTTGTTTATGATAAAGATGAGCGTTAGCATTTTCCAAACGTTAAATTAACGTTTTAATTACCGCACCTGTGAATGATTATGCTCTTGTTGTTGAAATTTGTGCTCATGTTGTCGTTCCAAGTCCAACTAATTTGTGCTCATGTTGTCGTTCCAAGTCCAACTAATTTGTGCTCATGTTGTCGTTCCAAGTCCAACTAATTTGTGCTCATGTTGTCGTTCCAAGTCCAACTAATTTGTGCTCATGTTGTCGTTCCAAGTCCAACTAATTTGTGCTCATGTTGTCGTTCCAAGTCCAACTAATTTGTGCTCATGTTGTCGTTCCAAGTCCAACTAATTTGTGCTCATGTTGTCGTTCCAAGTCCAACTAATTTGTGCTCATGTTGTCGTTCCAAGTCCAACTAATTTGTGCTCATGTTGTCGTTCCAAGTCCAACTAATTTGTGCTCATGTTGTCGTTCCAAGTCCAACTAATTTGTGCTTATGTTGTCGTTCCAAGTCCAACTAGACTTAGACTATAAGTCTTAGTCTTCAGATGAAAAAGAGGCCACTCAAAATTTCCATTAATTCCGGCTACCAAGCCGCAGCCGGCTCCTAGGCCCCCACAACGTAGCGCAAGGGTTGTACTTGTACTTGTACAAGTAAAGTACAAGTAAAGTTAAACGACATAAAATATTGTTATTTTGTAAACCGTTTCAATTACACATTTGTATTAAGTGAGCGTTCAGTACCCTACACATCAAATTACACTGACTGATTTTTGCGTGCCATCAGAGCCGTTCTTAGGAGTTTGGGGGCCCTAAGCATGGAGCGTAGGTTGGGGGCCCCGGAAAGGGGGGGGGGGTCCAGGGGTGCAGCTCCCTCGAGCTAAGGAGAAAAACACCACCCACCACTGCCGCACCTTCATTCTGCCTTCATCAATGTTACCTCTTTGCTAGCGTGTAACGACTAACCATATTGATAATTCCGCCACTAGAGAAAATGTGTAGGCCTACTTCTGAAATATATGGACATGCAGGTGGTAGTGGGGCCCTATGCGGTTGCCTAGTTTGCCTATATGCCTAAGAATGGTTCTGTTGGCACTTATTTCCTAATTTTGCGTACATATTCATTCATGAATTAAAAAACAATTAGAAAACTAAGACAGAAAAGATAGAAAAAAAAAAATTAACACACGAACCTAATAAAAAAAATACATAAATAAAAACATTCTGAAGAATTTTCCTTTGAGATATTTGTTTAAAAACCATCCATCATTAAGTAGAGAATGTCAATATGAATAAGCGTGCACAGTTTCAATTATGTAGTTCAAAACTATTCCTCCTGATTCATCAATTGACGTCAGAAAAGAAGATGAAAATGCTATACCGGTATCGATAAAAGCTGAAAAAGACACTGACAAATGCTTATTAAAAAAATTAAAGGTTTCTTGAACAACATTGGATGCATACATCATGAACACATTCCACTCGTTAATTAAAAAAACAACACTTTAAGTACATAGATATAATTGATAGAATATAAATGAATGCATTTTCCCAACAACCCACGCCTCGAGCCTAATAAAAATAATAAGATCATAAAAACTTCGGAATTTTGTTTATAAGACATGTAATAAAAAAAAAACATCAATCAATATATAGAGAATATAATAGAAAAAAAACTTTGCAAATTTTGAAGCATGTGGTAGTAATACTTTTCCTCATAATACATTTGACGTCAGAGATAAATGGAAAATCCTAAGTGGACCACTTTAAAGAAGAGAAAAAAGTTCAATTAAGCAATATTAGAAATATAGGAAGCAAATAAAATGAAATTTAAAGCATATCAATGTGAAATT